TGTGATTAAGTAGTCAATAAAACCACTTAGAAGAACTGATTTTATTCATTATTCTTATTTTTCACTACAAACTTGTAGTTCTCTTTAGTAATAAGTTAAATTTGTGCTCTGCTATGTGAAAAGAATGCTAGTTCAGTTGTGACCATCAAGGAAGGAGAAAGTGCTCACTTCAGTAAAGATAACAAAATCACCCTATACAATATTGCCCTTCAAAATTGAAAACAAATATTTTAAGTTAGCATTGTGGTTGCTAACCCTGACATATATTTTGAAACACAAGATCTTACTTTTTTTCTAGCTTAGGATTATAATTTCTTTTCATCTTCTTTGTGCATCTTGTAATTAGCTAAATGACATTTTGGTGCTCATGACGGTAAACGTCTAATTGTTAATAGTTACCTACAACAGTTAGAAAATTGTGACTTCAATTCAGTTATTGGAGCTTCCCTTAGTGTCATTAATAATATTGTTATTATCCTAACAGCCAACATTGAGCTTCTATAGGTGCAAGACACTTTTTTTTTAAAGATTTTATTTATTTATTTGAGAGAGAGAGAATGAGATAGAAAGAGCATGAGAGGGTCAGAGGGAGAAGCAGACTCCCTGCTCAGCAGGGAGCCCAATGCGGGACTCGATCCCGGGACTCCAGGATCATTACCTGAGCCGAAGGCAGTAGCTTAACCAACTGAGCCACCCAGGCGCCCCACAAGATGCTTTTCTAAATACTTAGTTTGTATGCATTCATTTGATGCTGCCGACAACCCATCCTTGATCAACTATATCATTTTGTGTTCTTTGCTAGTTTCTGAAGTCCTGGAATCGGTTACGTTAAGTACTGAGTCATCAAAGGAAGCTCTAGGTAAAAATGTTTCCCAATGCGCAGATATATGTGCATTTCCATCTCATTTCCGAAGTCATCTTTGGATGTCCTCATGCTTTGTGACATTTCGTAGCTCCTCACATCTTGTCTGTGCTCATCCAGTGAATCTTAAAAGTCACATGTTACATACAGCACATTGTGCTGGTGCCTGGTATATTGCTATGCAAGTTTCACAATTGCCTTAGCTCCCTTTCACTCTGAATGTGAGATTTAATTTTTTAATATTCTGACCATTCTTTAAATATGAATATACACATCCTAGTTTTCATGTTTCTATTGTTTTTAGTATTCATCCTTATGCTTTTCAAGGACTCACTCTTTGTCTTTTTCTTACTAGAATCCTTAAAACATGTAAGGAAGTGACATTACCTGCTTTGCTCCAGGTAGAAGTTGCTGAAGACACTGCTGGTTGTGGTGTGTGTGCACATGCCCACACTGAACACTGCCTTGATTTTCCACCTTCATCTCTGCCCTCTTAAATTGCAGTCATCTTCCTAATCTACCTAAATGTTATGTATTCTCATGAATGTACCAACTTAAGATAACAAACCGCTGTTTTCAAATTAAATACAGTGTCCTATGACAGTGTGTGATGCCCTGCCCACCACTAACCAGCCATTCCCTGTTTATTCCATAGCACCAACTGTAACAGATTATCTGTACCCCTCTGCCAAAGTACCACTCAGTCCAGAGGAACCAAAGACTGGAGGTGGTAAAGGTTTTCATGCTTTGATTCATTCATTCAACAAATTTTTAATTAACATCTGTTATGTCTGTGGAATGTGAAAGTTCAAGCTGTAGTACTTGTTCTACAATGGAATTCATTTGAAGAGCAGTAGCTTCCCAAATCCTTGGGGTCTTCAAACTACAATGATAATTGATCTCTGAATACAGAAATTTTGGTTTCTCTATGGTATCAAAATATTGAGGCATAATAGCATTAGACAGCCAGTTAATGACAGTTAAAATATTAAAATTAGTTGGAGAATTAGTATGACAGAAGAGGACTTGGTTCTCTCTCTCTTCTTCTCTAAACCCATTGTCCTATCTATAAAAATATGATGCAAATTTCTGAGAATGAGGTGTGTTGATATTCAACAAGGAAAGGGTTGACTATAGCTTAGCATCTTAAAGTTTTCTAAAATTGTTCTCCTTTGTTTTGATACAGTTGTGGAATCTATTACAAATGTGTCTGAACCACCCGAGACCACGCTAGGTAATGACACACCTCAGCAGCTTTTGTCCTCATTGCCACCGTCACCTGAGAACCTCAGGTTCTCTTTCATTGTGAATTCATGTTGCAACATCATTCTTCGTCATGGCAGTTAATTTTCTTTCTAGGTGCTTCTATTCATAACCATTGTCCAAAAAGTCTCTTCTGTTTTGTACCTAGATGTTGGTCTCTTTCTCTACTTAAGTCAATGAAACTGTCAAACCTAAAGCATCTTTTTCCTAACATTGAACATTCTGCCAGCTTGTATTGTGTTGAATATTTCAATTTTCTTTTTGTATCATGATCCATTTTTACTTTCTGCTCTAGCAACATATTTTCCATTAACAGTAATTCCATCACATTCATTTACATGTTTGATTTTTTTTTTTTTGCTCTAATTTTAAGTGAAATCCAATGTTTCTTCACTGACTCATGCTTTAACATTTTTTATTACTTTGGTTTTCCCCTTAAGGTTACTACTAAATATATCTTTCTAGGATTGTTGAGGAGGTATTAGTTTGAAGTGAGGATTTAAAAAGTAAGGATATTGCTTACTTTGAAAGTATTTTGGAATCTGGCATCTAAGCATTTTTTAAATTAAATGCATTATGAAGAAGTAGGAATGCTATTTTGCTGCAGAGCTGTAATTTTCTTTCCTTTTTTTTTAAATTGCAACCATCCTTTCTGTCATCTATCTGTACTCAAAATTTGTGAAGCACTATCGTAACCCCAGGTACTTTCCTTCAATTACCATAGAGACATCTCCTCTGCCTTCCCAAACTATAATCCTACCCAGCCCAGATGAGCCTTCGACCGAGCCGGGTAAATATTATTTTGTATTTCATGTAGAAGGTGAGTGTTTGCAGACTTCATAAGAATGGAAAGACAGTATGGGCACTATAGACATCAGAAAGCCTAAGTTAATCACTCTGCTTACATTCTTTGCCGGGCAATCCTACTTTTCTGATGCCCCACTTCTATCCATAAGCTACAGCCATTCACATGATAGCGTTGTGAATATTCTGGCTGAAAAACCATTCTCAGCTACTCTGCAACTGTTTCAAACAGGACATAGTAATGTTTCTGGGGAAGAACATCTATATTCCATTTTAAAATATAAATATCCTAATTTTAAATATTTTATCATCTTGACTAGAACTTTTACAAGTTCTGTGGTCATGTACAAACTATCTTAAGGTATCTAAGTTGTGTTTGAGATTAACAGAAACCTCCAGAAACAGATTTCACTGTGCAAAACACATAAAAGGGTACAACTGGCCAATCACATTATCATTACTCAGGTCTTTACTTCTTTCTACTCCTCTTCTTGCAGCAGTTTGGCCTTTCTGCATGTAAATAAGAGAAACTGAGTCAAACCAGCTAGTTGGCTTACTTAATGGTGGAATTTGAAATACAGGAAAATAAATCACCAACATGAATAACTAAAAGTGCTGCTTCTTACGACGAAAAATCCTCTCAATATCTATAGGCTTTCTTGGACTGATAGTTTATCAAAAATAAACCCAAACTGGTGTTTTGATTATCATTAAACTATTTCACATGGGTCTATTTCCAAAGGAGATATGAATATTAATTTTATACATTATCCTCTAAAATCTCTTATTAAATTTTGCCTATTAAACTCTACAGTTTATTTTTACTGAAATTTCACACTAACTGCATTAACTGAATCTGCCAGTTATCTCTAACTTTCCCAAGTTTCTTAAATAGCTGTTTTAATGGATATGATGGAAATGTTTAATTGAAAGTACTCTTAGTGATACCTACCTCATACCCTGGGAGAAGAAAATAGCCTATCAGGAACTTCAGCAAGCAAGGAAGTTGAGAGTGAAAAAAATTGCAAGATTGAAAGAAACTCTAGAATCAGAATTTCAGGATTGGAAGGGCCCTTAAGAGTCCTGTTACTTTTGATGGAGAACATGAGGCTATAGACTGAGTGATTAGCAAAGGGAGTTCTAAATCTTCAGGTTCCTAGACCAGTACAATCTCCTGCATATCTTGGTGTTCATTTCTCTACAGGCAATTCCACTGAAGAGTCCACTGAAACCACTGCATGCAGACTCTTTAGAAACTTCTAGTATCTAAAAACTCTTATTTTCAGCAAGCTTTCCTTAACGTGCCTGAAACTTGGTGGCCTTGAAAACCATTTTGTTTCTCCTAAGCTGTTTATACCAAACACACCTGAGACAGTCCAAATGAGGTGTTTCTACAAGCTGCAACATCACGTTTGATTATTCCTTTCCTCCAGCAGGATATACTTCAAATTTTCTTGGTAAAGATACAATTGGGTTTTTACAGTGAATGTCCTAGAACTACTTTAGGAATTGCCCAAGAAAGGAATAACTTTCTCAGGAATGTGTCCTTTCAATTTCTGTTCAGTTTTTCTTCCCCAGTATGACCAATGAAAACTGTGTTTTGTTTAATAAGATTTTTCCATTAGCACTGCTATTAAAATGCATTTATTTTCTAGGTATATTTGGAATGTAACATGCTAACTCTGTTTTTAGAAGAAATTGTATTCCTCTGCACTTAAAATATTATACTGGGATATTCTGGTAAAATAGTGTAAACTTGTAATAAGGATGAATTCTTGTTATTATGAAATTTATTTTAAACCTATTTAAAAGGTGTTTGAAGTAGATATTTCTGAAATTCCAACAGTTTCATTTGCCAGCTGAATATCTTAGACATCATTTAATGTACTTTCTTGTTTTGTTTTCCAATAATAAATTTATCTTCCTATATTTTGTGGTTCTTTAGGAGCTTTAATTGCATTAATTGCTGTGTATTTAGGTCTTCATCTTTGAGATCCTAGAAGTTTAGATACTGTGATTCTTGAAGCGCTCAAGAGCTCCAAACCCTCCAAACCTATATTCTTTCTTTTAGCTCCCAAGCAGACACCACGTGCTCCTCCCAAACCAAAAACATCTCCACGTCCAAGAATCCCACAAACACAGCCAGGTAAATACATATTTTATATTCTGAAGAGTTTGATATTAGTGGAATTATTCTATTGAATTGTAGCGAGTTGGGTTTTTAACTCTTGTAAAATGAGTCTTCCTTTGAAACCTTAAAAATATTTATGTTTATTTTTGAACTTTATTAAGAAGTATGTTATTGGAATAGCTTATTCCAGAAAGCTTCCCTATGGTTACATTATTTGAAGAGGGAGCTGGAGAAGAATGGAATTTCTTAAAAGAGTAGACTGCCTACCCCCATTGCCTCTCTGAGCTTGAGAATACCTGTCCCTTCCATGGTCCTTGAATGTGCCTCCTCCTACCAATCACTTCTTTTTTTTTTTTTTAACTTTCAGTAGATTTTATTTAACAGTATGTCATGGAGATCTGTTTTATATGTATATCTATTCTCTCCTATAACAATGATTATATAATATGGCTTTGGTGGTTTTGCTGTAAAATTTTGGTAAGGACCAAACAAGAGTCATTATAAACTATTTTGCATTCTTTTCAAGAGGCTTTTATTTGAATGATTAAATTGAACCCTAACTTCTCAACCAAGATCTTGTCCAATTTCTCCAACTGCCTTGGAGGATCTCTGTTGGGGGATATCATGAATTTGACATGTCTCAAAAAAAGTTCATCATCTTTTGCTCCTTTCAATTTCTCATTTACATCTCTGGCAGTTTCTCAGTATTTTACAAGTAACTTTTACTCCTCTTCCTCATCCAGCCTCTGCAGTCCATTTGCTAATAAGTATGATGCATTCAGTTCTTCCAAACATTTCTAGCATTGGTGCCTATGCCAAGCATGTACTTGGTCATGCCTTGTCTGTTGTCATTGATCTCCTAACTCTTTTCTCTAATTCCAAATTATATCACCCCTCAATGTTTAAGCAATTAATTCATCTCATCAGGTAGTCACTCAACAAATATTTATTGCATGCTATGTGCCAGACATTGGGGATGTGAGACAAAATTGTATCTTTCCATGGTCAAGGAATTTACAGGCTAGCCCTACTACATAAATTAAAAAAATATCATTTATACATGGTCTGCTTCCAAAAAGTATAAGGGTACACCTCCCCAGTTTGGTAGAAAAGGAGCCTTTACTACCGCTTACAGTCTGGAGAAAGAAAAATGTTAGGAGCATCAAAATTATGCTCGATCAAGGTAGTAGTTCTGAATTCCTACCACTAATTCTTTAATCATATCTCAGTATTCCTACTGAAAGAAAAAACTGAAGATTTGGGCATAGTCTTTAATATCTGATTCTGAGAGAAATTTTGCCTGTCATTTTTTTCTTTAAAGGAAAATTCCTTAAAAGACAGTTCTATGTTTCACATCTAGCTAATGATTTTAAATCTGCTTTAATGTATTTTTAAATGTGTTTTATTTAATTACTAAGGCTTTGCTATGAAAATAATATGGGTATGATACCTAGTGTATAAAGGTACCAAGGCAAAAATCCCCTGAAAGAATAAGAAAGTTAAAATAACAATAAATACACTTGAAACATTAATCCTTAAGAAATAGTTTGAGGGGCGCCTGGGTGGCTCAGTCGTTAAGCGATTGCCTTCGGCTCAGGTCATGATCCCGGAGTCCTGGGATCGAGTCCCACATTGGGCTCCCTGCTCCGCGGGAAGCCTGCTTCTCCCTCTCCCACGCTCCCTGCTTGTGTTTCCTCTCTCGCTGTCTCTCTCTCTGTTAAAAAATAAATAAAAAATCTTAAAAAAAAAAAAAAGAAATAGTTTGAAAAACAATTATTAGAGAATAAGTAATGATTAATGAATAGGAATAAAAAAAGCAAAGCAAGTATATTAAGTTGATAGAAAATTAAAATCTGATTTTAGAAACTCAACAGATAAAATCTCTCAGCTTTTTATTTAAATATAAGGCATAAAACATAAGTAGCAGAGAAAGGAGAAATCAAGAGAAGTAAGAAAGCATGAAAACTTGTTGAATGTTCAGAAAATAAGAAATGAAGTGGTGAGAATTAAGACATTGGGAATATAAATTCTTGCCTGTGAATTGTGTAAGACTGTTGAATCACAGACCTGTACCTCTGAAACAAATAATACATTATATGTTAAAAAAAAAAAAAAAAGATAGGAAGGGAAAAATGAAGGGGGGGAAATTAGAGGGGGGACGAACCATGAGAGACTATGGACTCTGAGAAACAAACTGAGGGTTCTAGAGGGGAGGGGGTGGGGGGATGGGTTAGCCTGGTGATGGGTATTAAGGAGGGCACGTACTGAATGGAGCACTGGGTGTTATACGCAAACAATGAATCATGGAACACTACATCAAAAACTAATGATGTAATGTATGGTGATTAATATAACATAATAAAAAAAATAAATTCCTGGTTAGTAAAATTTTTAAAAGTAAAGGAGATATGAGGTAACAAAAAAACATTCATCATTTTCTTTTTCAGCTATATATTCTGTACTTATAAAAATATTTATCATCCATCAGGATCTTACTCTAATTTCCCATTATTATAGTATATTCTACATTTCAAATTTGTTTGGCTAGCTCTTGTAATTTCAAAAGGCCATCTGGGTGAGAGAATGTCCTATGCATACATACAATACCAAATGCAAATTATTATTGTTAGACTTTAGGGGGATCCCTGACAGTAGTGTGTACAATTTCCAGTGCAACACAGTGTGCCCATCCACTACTTTTCTCAGAATGAAATTCCATAATCGGGCATACCAACTTTCTTCCTATTTAAGCTTAGATAGCAAGATTTAAATCTGTATTCGGCATTTAAGGGCAAAGTGGAATAAAAAGTTTGGAACAAATCATCAGGAATACTTTGTCATTGCATAAAGGCTTGATTTTTAGATTCCTGTGTTCATAGGTAATAGTCAACAACCCAATTAATTTCATATCTAGAAATCTTATAACTATCAAAACTGTGGGTGCCTCTGGCTCATGTGGGGGCAAACAACATGAGAATCAGAATATACTCAGGTGTTAAATTTGTAAAATTTGTAAAAATCAATGTCAAATTTGTAAAAATCTTCTAGAAGTGGTAAAAATTTTTATTACAGTCGTATAGTCTTCACATCAGTTTGACATTGCACATTTAATTCTCATGACCACCCTTTGGGTTAGGGCAGGTTTATTATTTCCAACTAAAAAAATAAGAAACAAGTTAAAATGTGACCTCAGTGCTGGGATCTAGAAAGCCCAAGTTTTAGGACCTAGTGCCCATGTCTAGACCTCAGCATTCAGTTCAAGTCTCATCTCCAGTACTTATTTACTATGTAACCTCAGGCAGACAGTCACTAACCCAGACCATTAAAGTAAAGCTCATAATTCCTTCCTTCCATCATTATGGTGAGAATCAAAGAGCACACTCCTTACAAAACCACTTTTGAAATTGTAAAATGAGCTATAAATAAATTAGACCTTTTTTTTCTGGTATCTGTTACATTAACAACTCATTACTCCAAAGGAACAGTTGTGGGAAGACCATTTTAGTTTATGAACATGCTCATTTAAAGATTTAGGTGGGGCCTAAGAATTTCAGGGGGTGTAGAATGTGAGCCTACATGCTCCAGTCCCTCCTGCTTCCCTTTCTGCTGTTGCCTGAGCTGACTTTAAGCTTGTCTTATTCATGCTACATTGCCTTCTACTCTGACTTTGCTAAATTCATCTTCACAGAAAGACATGAGGCTGGGTTTGAGGAGTCAAGCAAACATCCAGAAAGGACGAACACTTCTGCATTAATTTAATTGTTATCTCTTCAAAAAAAGAAAATAAAGTAGTTATCTCTTCTGAAAAGAAGATTTCAAAAAAAAAAATTCTCCCTTCTACCCTTACGCTTAGTCATATTTTGTGGTTTCTCAGACATCATTTTTCTAAAAGCATCTGGAATTCTGATACATGTTCAGAGCTTAAAGTTTATTTTTCTAATTCCCATTTCAATGCTTTTCTTTTTAAATCAGTGGTCAGGCTTACACTTTGTCATATCATCTGTGTTTAGCAGGACTGGGAGATGCTGAAACAAAATGACTCACGATCTGAGTTCTCTCTTTCAGCCCGCAAGGTGTCCCAGCATGTTACTTCAAAGCCAAAAGCATTACCAAGTCCAGAAGTATCATATACTCCACCAGGTAAGTGATTTATTTCATGTTTAAGCCAAATGCATTCTCCTGTCACATTCTGCTACAATGACACCTAAGAACTGATAGATAAGAGGGCAATATTTCACTCATGTTCCGACAACATGTTGAATCATCCATGGTGTGATCATCTCTGAGGTTCCATAGGTTATCTAGTTGCCCATATAGTAAGCTATTGATTCAATCAAAAGGTAAAGAATTATGCCAAGGGTAGACCTTTCCTTTAGAACTAAAATTCTCATATATTCTGACTTATAAAAAAATAAAATAAACCTGTCAATGCTAACTAGATTATGTTCAAATGGTTCACCAAAATAAGATAAAATAAAGAATTTGATGGGGTTTTTTCTCCACAAAAGTGATAAAATGTTTTGCAAACAGAGGAAATGATCTTTACCCATTATCTTTGGTTCAGTAATTTTATACTACCTAGCACTGAGGGTTTTTCTCAGTCAATTTCTACTTTACCAGTTCATGGAGCAACAGCTTAGGTAGAGAAATAAGAAATTTCCCATACACAAAGGATTTCTTTAGCTACAAATCTATCTCTTACCTATCATCTGAGAAGGCCTTTTGTCCATTTATGGAGGGAATAATTTTATATCTGTGGGAGTGGTTGGTATGGGAACCTCAAGGACCCAGACATTTCCTGAATCTTGCCACCAGTGCTCTAGATGCTCAAGTGACCTTAAGAATCCACTGTAAGAGGAACAGTTCTCTAATAAACCAAACAAAGCTAATTTTTAACTAGAGTATCTGGAAAATGATATTTTTTATTTCTTTTAAATGGTCCAATTATTATAAATTTCTAGATGCTCCTAGAAACCTATGGAACATTCCCAGAACGAAAGGATTTCTTAGTTGTAGCATGAAATGATGGCATTTTGGAAGCAAGCCTGAATTCACTTGCTATAAATGTTTTCCAGATTTGTAAGTGGGGGGTGGAGGGTTGTATTACTGCTGCTGTGGGATAGTCTGGTTGCTGCGGGTAGCAGTAGGCCAGAGAGAAGCTCCTTAGCTCTGAAATCTAGAATGTCAATTTGTACCACTAAACACAACAGCCAGTATAATAGCCACCAACAAGAAAAAAAGTTGATCTTCTCACTTGCAAAAGGTCAGTTTCTCATTTTTCAGTTGCAGGGAAAAAATGTCACAGAAATTGAGTCATTAATGATAACAACAGTAGGTTTGAGTGATTTTGTGTGCTTTTCCTTTTTGTTAGAGAAAGTAATACTGTTGGTCCTAAGGTGACTTAATCTCCTTAAACCATATCTAATACTAAACTATATCTAATAATTAAGTATTTTTTTCTTTTTAAATATCTAATATTTGCCTTAATTCCGCCTTATTTTTTCACAGAAACTCGAACCTTAAGTTTGAGCACGGGAACAACAGCCCAAACTGCCCCCTGGCACCTCCACTGGGCTTATTCTATTGACTCTCCAGTTCCACATGTTTGATTAGAGTTCAATCTCTAAACCTGGTGCTGGTCCCACCATTTATTCATCAGGGGCTCCCCTGTTGCTCCAGGGGTGTGGTGCCTGTGGGAATAATCTTCAGTTTTCTCATGAGTGTTCAAACAGACTAGGTTCTCTTAGGCTTAGTTTCTGGGTCATAACTAGGCACAGGTTTGCATCCTAATGAACCCAAGACCTTGTTTACCAGCTCCTATAGGTTCTATCTCAGAAAGCAGAGGGGAACTTACACATAGGTTTAATATGTACTGGTGTCCTAGAGAAGTAGATGCTCTGCCAAATCTGAAAATGTAAAATGTAGTGCTGAAATCAAGACAGAGTTACAAGATTTATCTCAAAATTTATTCTGAGAGATATCAGAAGTAACTAACTTGAATTTTTTGATCTGTATCAAAAAAGTCAGTCTGGGATTGGCCACACAGCTCTTCCATTCTGTAGATTCCTAGATATAACACAGGTCTCATCCACCTAGGCTTTTAAAAAGTATCTTCCAGCCACTCAGTTGAGTTCTCTCTATACCATTTAATGAGGAATCTAGACAAATTGAGCCCACATGCCTTGTCCAGAACCAACACAGAAGTGGTTTTTCTTCAGATCTGCCTCAGAGGAATGATTTCAAATTCAGAGCAAAGGACTTGCCCTGATACCTGGCTCAACAGGGCTGTGCTTTCTTTGTAGATGTATTTCTATTTTTTTTTAAAGAATTTATTTATTTATTTGACACAGAGAGACACATAGAGAGGGAACACAGCAGGGGTAGAGGGAGAAGCAGGCTTCCCGCAGAGCGGGGAGCCCAATGTGGGGCTCGATCCCAGGACCCTGGGATCATGACCTGAGCCAAAGGCAGACGCTTAACAACTGAGCCAGCCAGGCGCCCCAGTAGATGTATTTCTAAACCAAGAGCTGTCCTGGCTTTGTGGTGACCCTTCTGGCCCGTGGGTATCTGGATAGACCTGTCATTGGAAGTGAACCAGAAAAAAAATCTAGATTTTGGCAAGTTATGCAATCCTCACAAATGTTCTTTGTGACTACTGTCTTTGGTAAATTCCAATTTGCAGGCACACGTAAGCATTTTTGCAGTTAGGAAATGAGGGAAGAATGCTGAAATGCCTTTGGAAATAGAATCACTAGGATGTAGGCAATGACTCTTGCAATGGAGAGGAGGATGACACTATTGTTTCTAGCTTGGGCAAGTGGTGGATGATAATGCCACTAACTAAGGCAGGGAACACAGGGGTGAGGGGGGTGGTAATAAGCACCGTGTTTGTGCACACTGGGTTTGGAGGGCCAGTAGGATTTCCAAGTGGGAATGTCTAACTGGTGGTCAAAATGTATTTCAGGATTTCTAAACCGAAAATATGGGATATAGATTTGGGAGTCACCTGTCCACATCTAGCAGGTTATTAAATTTCGTGTGTGAATGAAATCATCCAATAGAAAGTATAGACTGAGAAAAATAAGAGGTTAGAGGTCAAAAACTTGGGGGACACAGCTACATTTAGGAAATGGATAGGAGATGAGGAGCCAGAAGAAGTTGCTGTCAAAAATTAAGAGAGAACCAGGAAGGAGGGCCTCCGGAGGTAAGGCAGGGAAGTGTGGTCAACAATGACCAGTAGAGCGGGATCAGAGGAGCTGCTGGACTTGACAGTGCAGACCCAGAAAGCCATATCCAAAACCTGTGGGCCCATGCTTCAAAATCCAGCAGTTTCTAGATGTTAGGTAAAACAGAACATATACCAAATATATTAATATGTCTGCAGTAAGAAGTATGAATAGTTGTACCATACCAGATGAATAAAAATTGTAATTAGACTTAGGTCAGGTCTAGTCAGGTTTTGCTGCCTAATAAGTGAAGAAAAAAATCTAAGTTTTCGGAGCATTTGGACTTGAGAGCTATGGATAAAGCATTGCGGATCCACTGTTGCAGGAGGTCAATGAAGAGGAAGCCAGACCACAACAGATGAAGATACAATTGAGAGACCAGAAGCAAAGGCAGATAATGTTTTTTGATTATAGGAATGAGAGCAAGGGAAGGATGGTTTGAAGGGGAAGCCACATCGAGGAAATGAGGATTATTTTTAGGGTGTTGGAGCATTTGAACTGTTCTATAGGTGAAGAGGAAGGAAATCATGGATAAATGGAAATACGGACTAATGGAGAAACATGTAAGGTAATAGAAGGTAGGTAAGGTAAGGTAAAAGACTCTAGAAGAGAGAGTGGCCCAACGACACAGGTAAAGCTTGGAATGTGGCCTCCAAACAGGTGGGAGACATGCTTCCTCCTAGACTGGACCTAAAGGTACAAGGTTAGAATAAAGGAACAGGGAATTCAGAGATGAAAATTGTGTATAGTCCATGTGTATTACTTTTCTAAGATAATCAGTCTCTTTGTAGCTTATTGCAGGAGTAAACCTCATTGAAAACTTCATATTCCACCATCTTTATCATAGAATAACAGATTAATTTCTCTCATTTACTCTAGCAAAACATTCATGTTCATTCATTTACATTGGTCCATATTAGACATTTCCATTCATAATTGTCTTAGTTGAATTTTTCTTTGGATTGGTGCACTTTATTCAAAAAGACAGTAATATAATTGGTTGGTTAATATAAATGGTAAGTTGGCTAATATAACTGAGTCTAAAAATATACCAATATTATATATTAATTACATATATTTATTATAAAGATATTCTTATAAGGAAATCAAAACTGCCTTCTCATATAAATTGTCATTATTAATACACGAAGTCTCTCCCCACATGGAAGATTTAGAGTTTAGGAATTATGCTTTTATTCAATTTAATATATGGAGGAATGCCACACAGGGAAAAAGAAAAAAAAGTTTCATTTCTTGGAGCTGCTCTTGACGAAGTAAGAGAATGAGTCATATCCCTTTCCTGTGAATATTTCTGTTTCTTTCCTTTCCACTGATTTCACCTGCTTTAGAAAGTCTGCAGTGACAGTTTATTAAATCATCACTTCATGGTTAAAAAGTGCCAATTGAAGCAGCAGGAATCCACATTACCCTGGCCTACATGCCACAGTAAATGAAAACAGGCAACGAGTAATGTATTGACAGCATGGTGGATTTATGGGTAGCACATTTTTTCTCTGCCTCTCCTTAATCCCAGCTCCTGTCTGTATAGTTGAGAACTGCAGCCTTTTAGGGTATTTAGAAACTACAGGCTGCTTTGAATGGCCATGATCTTCACACAGCCAAATCAAAGTTTTTCACCCTCCAGATAAACGTTTAGTTTGATTTACAACTGGAAATTTCTTGTATTTTACCCTTCGAATCCCCAAAAACACTACATAGCAAAGGGCAAATGTTCACTATTAGGTTAAGTTTTCTCTAATTTTTGTGGACCACTGATCTTTTTGAGTTTTTTTTTTTTTAAGTTTTTATTTATTTATTTGGCAGAAAGAGATACAGCAAGAGAGGGAACACAAGCAGGGGGAGTGGGAGAGGGAGAAGCAGGCTTCCCGCGGAGCAGGGAGCCCAATGCGGGGCTCCATCCCAGGACCCTGGGATCATGACCTGAGCGGAAGACAGACGCTCAACGACTGAGCCACCCAGGTGCCCCGAAGTTTTTTTTTTTTCTTATAAAAATTCAAATGTTCAAGTTCCTGTGGATGTTACCTTTTAGCTCATAAAAGTTCAAATTGAGTCAAGATCCTACTCTCTGTACCAAATTCCACAACTATAACTTCACTGGGACTTAGAGGTCTAGGCTAAGAACACACGTGATATGGAAGTTAAATCTGATCTCCAAAAGCAGTACAAAGAGAAGTGTCAGTTCTATATAAACTATACACTAATGGGGAAGTAATGCTTGGTCAAAAGCAAAAGCTTTCCTTGTCTTTTTCTGAGGTAGAACTCTAGCCTGAATCCTAATTTTTTTCCCCAGCATCATTTAAGATGCAAGAAAATTACAGTGTCTACCAAAGGGATTCTGGTACTTACCACACCTTCATTGTGGTAGGAAAACCTTTCAGCAAGACAGTAGGACTGAGAAGGACCTCTTTATGGGGAAACTGAGCCAAAGAAGCACTTTACCTTGCTCCTGGAAGGAGACTTTGTCATAGAAATCTGGTGCTAATAATAGGCGAATTACCTTGGTATTTTCCTCAGTGAGAAATGAGGTGTCAGATTTGCAGCCTACTGTTTTATTTTGCCAAAATAAATTCTAAAAATGTACTGGGTATCAGGGACCGACTATAAGTAGGTCTCTTTTAGCTGACATTTTTGTCCCTAGTTTTCAGGCTCTTATATGTCAGGAGGCCCTGAAACCTAATCTACTGGAAGCCACATCACTAAGAATGACAAAATGGTAGCATTTATCTAGCATTTACTAGTAACAAGCACTCTCATAAACTTTACATGTGGTAACTTCTAATGATGGGTAGATTATTCTTGCTCCATTTTCCCCCCAGAATAACTATGAGTGCCTTTTAGACTATAACTTTGTTCTCCTCTTAGATATTCAAGAATTTGCCTTTCTTGCGGTCTCCCTTAATTTATAGGCCATTTATGCCTACATTATCTAGGATAATATATTTTCCATTGTTCTCAATGGACTTTTAGTCTGAATATCAAATGGCAGCTAACCACCTCAGGAAAAAACTGATTTTCTAGTTTTCCTTCTTTTTCTTTTTCTTTTTTTTTTTTTAAGATTTTATTTTTAAGTAACCTCTACAACTAGTATGGGGCTTGACACAACCCTGAGATCAAGAGTCGCATGTGCTACTGACTTGAGCCACCTTCTTGTGTTTAATGACATTAGTTATTTCCTCTTTTTTCCCCCTCAAAGGAGGCTTCATAAAGAACTGTCACCAATTTTGTTTAACTGCCACAGAACCTTCCTTACACAGTGACTTTTTCCATTTTGAAGAAAACAGTCATCTTCTTGGATTTACTCTTTAGCCATTGTGAAAATACCTTTGCTTTGTTCATGTTTTCCAGGATATTTTATCTGTGGGTTAGGTTTCACGCCAGATGTGGCATTTGGAGTACAATGTTTTATAATCTTTTTTCTTTCAGTTCCAAGAGATGTGCTCCTTCCCCCTAAACCAGACCCTGAAGTCTCTCAGAGCGAACCTGGTAAATAAATAATTTTATTTTCCCAGTTAGGAAGTGTGTTTTTCAAAAAATGTTCTTGAGATAAACACATTTTTTAATCATTGTGATATGGAAGAAGTTTGGAGAAAATTATAGATATTGAATGTGTATTTCCTTTTTGTGAAGATTTAACCTTATAATTTGCTTGAATTTTTTTTCTCTGGTTAGAATGGAGGAATAGTATAGAATTAGTTTTCCACGGAAGTGTTTCCATCGAAAAGGAGATCATGCTAAAATTATACGACATGCTTATTAACTGAGCCAACCATTTTTACCTTCTTTCAGAATGTAAATAGACCTACATTCCAACTGTGGGTGTACTTTAAGTCAAAAATGTGCATGCCTACTCAAAAATTTTCCTCAAAGTCACAGTGAATGAGATCTTTAAAGTTTTAGCTAAACTAAGTTTCCTAAGTAGCATCTAATATATAGAATGTTCTCTTATTTATTATGATTCTTCGATAATGTTTAAATGTTCAAATAGAAGCATATAGAAACACACAAATGATGTTACTTCACCAGGTAGTAATTTTCATAAATATATTTCCTTGATTTGCTTTTGGCCTAGTTCTGCAACCTGTTACCTTTAGAATTGATCCACCAGAGACAACAATAGGTAATGGTTTTCCCCTACCAACCAGCTCTAATAGTTTTCTTTGCTACAGTCCAATTGCAGGTCTTTCTCACCTTACCATATTGAAACATCATCTCTCCTCAGTCCACCTCATCATCTCATTCTCATTACTCTTACGCTTTCCAAAATAGAAAAGCAATAGCTTCACTGTTGTAAAGGCTTTGCTCTGAAGACCAACTTAAGACAACTCATTACCTACCTCATTACTTCCATGTTCAGAACAATTCCATGTGCTCATGCCCATCTAGTTAACATCTTCTGCAAGTTTAGTGGTTCTCAGCTGTAGTGTTACAATACACTAGCATGTGACAAGTTATGAAAGGTTCTAGCAAGTAATTATTATTAATATTGGTCAAAATACTGAACTTTGCCAATGGTTTATTTTTAAAAATAAACTTGAGGAGACTCCAGATGACCGCTACAAGAATCAATATTTTCACTCACTTTGTAATCCTGTGTGTCCTTGTGGATGGGAGAGAGAGACAGAGCTACAGCTGACAGACCAGGACTGTTTCTAACTCATACCCCGTCTTAACCAGGGATGGTCATGAAGAGTGTCAAGCCCTGAATTATTTTTTATCTGTCCTGGTGGGGAAAAAAAAAAACAGTTGAGAACCATTATTCTTATAATCCACAGTCATTTTCCTGAAGGTTCTGTGTACATCTAACTTTCTTCTTCATGACCCACCTAATGTTTTCCTTTTCCTGTTTCAAATGAAGGAATCTCGTGTAATATTATTCTGGCTGGTGCTGGCTTTTGCATCTGAAGATTGACAACGCTGGTGCTTTTCTTTTGCAGCTCCTTTAGAGACACGAGGCAGCCCTTTCATACCCATGATTTCACCAAGTACTACTAGTGAAGAGGAACTGCAAGCCACTCTGGGTATATTTTGTTTTTATGTTTCAGTCCAATGAGGACCTACCTTTTAGGGATTGCTCTTGAAGTAGCTATGCATGCATTGTATTTATGGAATGTTTCCAAACAATAGAGGGTCTCTTTTTACCATTACTAAAAGACATCCATTTCACTTGATTCTTTTACATTAACTGTATATTTGTCCTTCTAATATTTATGCTGGTTTTCAATAGAAAATGAGAATATTTTAAAACATCTTGACAAAATTTTAACTTTTCTCAAAAGAAGAATATTCCCAAAGTGTATCAGTGCTATACTTTTCGGTTGCTTTTTTTCCATATTTGAAACTGCCTTTGGGAGGAAAAATTTCATTTTGAATTCATTGAATATTTTATGGGTGCTAAGTGAAATGCTAAGCAATGGGAGTTCCAGAAAAGAAACTGTTTTAAGGGTGAGTCCTGACTCTGGAGAGCTCAGCACCTAATATGAAGAAACAGGATCAGTGATAGTAGTGCTTCCTCAGTGCCCCCCAGGGTGCTATGTGTGATGTTTTCATTTAAGCCACACAATTGCCCCATTTTACAGATTAGAAAATTGAGGCATAAAGAGGTTTAAAAATTGGGCCAAGTCACACAGTTAATGTCAAAGCTGGATTGGAACCCACATATTCAGTCACCTGAGCTCCTGGGATTCACCTCAGTGTTGAACAAACGAGTGTGATAGAGAAATGAGCAATTTGTTAAAGAAGCCAACTACTGGGTGTATCAAGGGACGCTTTACAGAGGAGGTGATATTTACCCCGAATTTTCAAGCTGGAGTGAGAGTTGAAGTTAAAGATGTGAAAGGTTCTTTCAGGTTAAAGACAGATGGGAGAGAGGCAATTCAGAGAATGGTGGTCAGGCTAATCTGATGAGCACATGACTTGCCTGGAAAAACGAGGATGGCTAGATGCATCAGGAAGGTTTGTGGGGATGAGTGGTCCATGCTTTCAGGAGTTCAGTACCAATACATTCACAGCCTGGAAAACCCCAGTTTGCCTGACCCTCGATTGAAAATGAATCAGAAAACAAGAATTTCCAACTTGTGTTTGTTGGTTCCTTGGTTCCTTTGCCCTGTCCACAATGCATCTCACATGGCTGTGTTTAAATCAGTGGCCTTATTTTCCTCCTTTCATCCCTTTTCAAATAAATCTATCCTTTGTGTGTGTCTACTGAGATGCAGTTACTGATCACATTTCAAAATGAAATCCTTTTTAAAGGAACAAATTTAAAACTGAGCAAGTACACCCTAATTTCCAAATATTTATCTATTCTAGCCATTCTCCACCAAGTGAACATCACCCATGACAGCAAAGTCAAAAGTACTTTTCAAGAACCACTGCTAGATATACTAACTTCTACTCCCTATTTATTTTAATGTACCTTGGTTTATTGAAGCAAGAACCATCGCCTGCCAACGGTCACAAGTATGTCTGTTGGGCGCCTGGGTGGCTCAGTCATTAAGCGTCTGCCTTCGGCTCAGGTCATGATCCCAGGGTCCTGGGATCGAGCCCCACATCGGGCTCCCTGCTCCGCGGGAAGCCTGCTTCTCCCTCTCACACTCCCCCTGCTTGTGTTCCCTCCCTCACTGTGTCTCTCTCTGTCAAATAAATAAATAAAATCTTTAAAAAAAAAAAACAAGTATGTCTGTTATGAGCAAAATCCTGATTATAAAGAAGGGCAGAAAAAAAAGGTGACAGTGTATTCTATGCCCCAAGTATTCTCTTGTATACAGGGTATGGTAAAGTGGCAAAGTATAATTTGCTGTTTATATGACGCTGTGATGACTTCGAGATAATATGGGAGTAGAAGTAGTGCCACACTTATTTTTTTTTGCCAGGAAAAATGTGTCTATGTCAATAAACTTTGACTCTCACATCACATAAATAGAAGAATATTTATCCTTATACAGTGTAAATGCACTTGTCTTCATACAATGTATTTCTTTTCCAGCTCCTATAAATAACTTGTGGAGTTTATGGAATAGAGAGGAAGCATGAAGACAGTAATGTATGAAAACAGTTAAGAGACAGAGTTTGAGAACAGCCATGTCCAGGATCATGAAACAGTAATCATGAACTAAAAGCTTTTGGAAATCCTTATAATAATCATGAAAATAATAGAGCAAGAAGATAGCAAATATAATAAATGAGTTATTAAAATGTACCTTTGAAATTTTGTGATGACAAGGATTACTTATAAATGCAATTTCCCATGAGGTGGAAAAAAAATGTGAGGTTTTTTTGACATGTTCATGATGATAATTACTGAAAGCCAGCCATCTGACTGTGTTTTTCCCCAGCAGAAACAGACCAATCCACCCAAGGATTCTTCACAACTAAGATTCCGCTAACAACTGAATTGGCTAAGACAACTCAGGGTAATGCTGCTTCCCCACTTCTGCGTAGTAAACCATTTCTTTTTTTTTTATTATTATTATTATGTTTAAACCATTTATTTTCATTTTTAATCATGAAAGAAATTTTCTTTTCAGAATGTCAGTTTTCATCACAGTGAAATAGTTTTCTTCACTTTATAGGTGCAGGACATCCGCCGAATAGGAATATTTATGCGTACATCGCTTGAATGTAGGGAAGACCGGTTCTTTAGTTAGAACTTTGCTTTTGAATGTAGGGTTGACCATGTGATGCTGAGAACTAAGAATGAAAGCCTCCTCTCACCATGCTTTTTTAGTTTGTTTAACCTTCATTTGCCTCCTTTTCCACATCTGATAAATAAGAATCTGTGTTAGCTTTTTTCTCCTCCCCATTCTCCTCCCTCTCTCCTACCCCCTCGCGCTCGCTCTCTGCCTCCGTCTGTCCCATCTCCTCTACTCCATAAGGACCTTTATACTGTAGCCTGAGGAAGGAAACTTGTAAGGAGAAGAATCAATTTTTAAAGATGACTTAATATTTAAACATCGAGGGAGGGTTTGGGGGAGATTTCCTTTTCTTTCTTCCTACTTCTTGGGAAATGAACTTGCTTACACAAAGCTCTATCTCCATGTTCTCAATAGTCTATCCTTTTTGTATTTTTCTATCCTGCTTAGGTTATAACCAGTTGTGGATTTCCGGGATTTTTGTGGATTTTTTTTTTCTTTCTGTTCTAAATGATCCCTTTTGTTCATCTCTACATCTTTCATATGGTAGGAAGTCTAAAACACAAAAGTAAACGTTTTTTTAAGGAGTTGGAAGACACATTTATTTTACTTGTCAGTTATAATTTGTAGAGAAAATCTGGTGTAAGAAATTTGAAATAATAAGAAAAATTGTTTAAAAAATATAATTTTAAGGTATTTTATAATAAGTAGAACAGTACATATTCTAAATAAACATGACTAGAACACTTCATGGCATAGGATAGTTCTTGCAAATTTTCTCAATCTTTTTTTACTTGTTTGGTTTCATTTTTTATTATGTATTAAATGTTTATTACTTACATTGTTACCTTTCTATTTATTAACTTTTTATTTCTTTATAAATCCACACAGAAGAAACCCAACATAATGGCAGCCCTCCCATGTCTTCATGACCAGCTTCAACCATTAACAACAGATGGTCAATCATGTTACATCCATAACACACCCTAATTTTTGTATGGTTTTTTTTTTATGTTTTTGCTTAATAGAAGCAATTAATGTCTTAATAGAAGATAGTTGATTCTCATAATGAAATACATTGTTTTTGCAGCAAAATATATAAACATTTATAACAAGCAACATAAAAAAGACTATTCAGTTCAGGTTGTGTTGCCAGATGAAGAAAAGATTTCAACTTTTTAAAGCTTTATAGATTTCAGAATTGAGAATAAAAGATTAGAGGCCTGTTTTTTCCTTGCTTGGCTTTTTCTTACTGTAATGGGAATGTCAGTACTGTGTCACCATTATTAGTGTATGTGGAATTTTTATCAAATTCTTTCTAGAATATGGTTCTACCAGATAGGAATTTTATAGTTGGTGGAGTGTATATCCAGGATCTGATTTCATTATATGAAACGTCTTAATATATCTATACAACGTACTCTATGTTCTGAGGATTGTTAGCTTGAGCCTGAACTGTGTTGCCCTAGGATTCATACTTTTCTAGGCTTGGACCAAGGATCTTTAGAGTGAGCTCACCAGGGATTCGCTGGTATGAGGCGACAAAGAACACCCTAGGAAAGAACCCATCTTAAGGGTGGGGTTAGCATTAGCCATCTGGTCCGGCCCAATGGGCCTGCATTACCAAGAGGGTCCACTTTCACAAAGGCATTCTGTGCGTCCCTAGGATCACCCTCATCAAACCCTCATAAATGTGTGCCTGAGCTCTGTGGAAGAGGAAGTCGGTCATCTGTTTTGTTGTGTTTTTAGCATCAGGCATCAGAAGCCTAAGACAGCACACAGCAATTTGAGAGAGGTGTTGGGGGTGAAATGACTCCTCTTGGTCTTCGCACTCTCCCCATGCATGGACCATGACCTGTGTGGCTTTTTGAACTCTAAACCCTCCACGATGGGAGCCAAGTGCTCCAAAGAAATTTTGTGCCTAAAGCCTCCGACATAGAGCCTGGTAGTAGAATCTCCAACCCCTGTTCTCAGGGACAGCCTTGCTCCGTTGTCTACTAAGACAATTCCCTGCAGCACGCCATAACCCAAAACCTGAAATAGTCAAACTCTTCTTTGCCTTTCTCACACTGTAATAGAAATCCACTTGACTAGACATACTATGGGGACACTGTTTATTTTACTTATTTCTGCTCCCTTATCCCTGCCTCACCCCAGGGAAAGTTATATCTTTCTTACCCTCTCCCTGTGCTGGGTAGAACATGACAACTTCAAGGTGTTTCTCCTATAACCCTGTTTGTTTCGTTTTGGAGTTATCTTCATGCTTCATACAAGTTAATACTTCATAGTATTTTTTAATGCTCTTAAATAGATTTTTATAAAACTAGGTACAAAAGCATCTTTTAAAATTACTAGTCATTAAAAAGTATGTGGACATATGTTCACAAAGCTCCTTTTCTTTTTTTTACTTTCAGTTAAAAATTAAAGCCCTAGAGCAGTTTTCTCAAGGCCATGTGTTATTCAGTGATGAACTATATGAGTAACTCATAGTCTAAACTTAAGTTATACTCCAGTGCTTGTATGAAAAATTCTGTCTAGATTTAAGTAAAGATTGTGGGGAAAAAATAAAGCAAAAATTCTTATCCTATGGCTTTGAAATACTGAGTGTAGTCCTGATTATTTCTGTGTTATTTATTTTCTCTGTTCTGCTTTATATCCCTTTCCTGTCCAAAGTTTTAAAATTCATATTTGTCCTAGAAGGAGACTAATAAGAACCATGACCCTTGTATTTCTTTAAGCTAAAACAATCAAACATTGAAGAAATTAAGATGAAAAACTGAAATAGATTCAATTCACAGGGACTCCTACCACCGTCAAAGAGAATTTTGAAGAAAAACATTTGCAAATCATCATTACACCATTTGAGGGTATAATGAGAATTAATTTTTTATAACATCAGTACCTCTGTTCACTCTAGCTGCTACACTTTGAAAGGTCCACACTAAACCTACAGAGAATTTCAGTATGCATCTGCTGTTTTTGGCCTGAAGTATGGCAAAATTCTGCTCATCAGTCTTCACATTGGAAGCTTATAAATGAGCTACGTTATAATCTGTTTCACAGGTGTATTTTTTTTAACTTGGTAGGCAAAGCATTGCTGACTTATGATTATATAAATACCCACTCAAGATGTGAACAAAATCATCAAAATGATGTAATCTACTTACATAGTTTGCAAGAAAAATTTTTTCCAGTCTTAGCTAAAGCATTACCAGGAGAGTTAGTGGTAAGGAGGCAGTGAGTGTGGTATGTTGGGGAGGGGCAGCGCAGAGAAGAGGGAAGGGAAAGATGGAGGAATTCCAGGATGAAAACACACTTAAAATCTTAGGAAGCAAAAGTATTTCACCTTAGTTTCTCACGAATTTGCCTGCCTACAATGGTCGCTCATTTTTTAAATTTATTTAGCAAGTCTTCATTAGGAGTCCTCACCGTGCCAGGCGCTGAGTAACAGGAGCAGGAAATGACAAGGTGGTATGTTGCTCCCAGGGCCTGTCCCAGTTCTTGCTCCTTGCTCTCCCTCTCTTGATAGGCAGGGCAACAGAAGTCATTGTATCCCATTCCTAAAGCTTTAATGGATAGGACTAATCGAGTATTCATTTCAGGGTTCATGAGCTGGGACAGTTTGATAGAGACCACGTGTTCCCACTCTTTCAAACTACCTAAAAATATATACTTTTTTTTTAATCTTTGAGATTACCTGTCTTCTTTGGCAAAATAATGTTCCACTCTGACTTCCTAATTGAGAGATGTGGATGGATGGATGGCTAGTTGGCTTATATGTTTACCATGTTAAGCAACCGTTCGGTAAAATAAATGCCCTTGAGAAACATGGACTAAATGGAGACTAATCCTTGACATACGTTACAAATGACATCCCACTCTGTGTGCCTTTATTTCCAGTCATGAATGTGTTTGCTTGTTTTATTTTCCTTCAGCAGCAATGCTGTAATGCATAATTGCAGGTTTCAGAACATCCTTTCCACTTCCATGCAATGTGTATGAGTTGCTGGTCCCTAGGATGCTAAATCCCATTTAATGGAATGTTGGTTATTAAATATGAAGCCTTTCCTCTGTTTCAGCACCACACAGATTGTATACTACTCCTGTGAGGCCCAGAATACCGGACAAAGCACACATCAGACCCAGTAAGTTGTTTCTCTTTCCGGCGACCTAAATAATCAGTACACCTGAGAAGGTATAAAATGTGTTGAAACAGCAACATACACCAAGGGAGGGATATATACCTCTAAATGGCAATAAAGGATGTGCAGAAATTCAGATCCTTGTGGATAAGTGGAGAGGAAATGATGAATCCATGGTAATGATAAGATGTGGCCAGATATAAAGACTCCCTTGGAACTTTATCAATAGAGAAGTATTTTTAGAATAGCATTTGTGTGTAAATCTCACAGATACTCCTTCAGTTTTCCATGGCAATTATAGGAATAGCATTAGAGTTAGCTATTTAGATACTACTAGCTCTCAAATGTTATTGAAGAAGTGATGGTCTCTTCTAGTATAAAAGACCCTTGTTCTGGGAGAACATTTTTCCTTGATTCCTTCAGATGATAAAACACACACACATACACACATTTTACAGGTCATATACAGTAAAAATGATAATTAAGAAGTGGAAAATACTTTACATTTATTGGATTCTCCAAAAATTCTAGCATCTCCCTCACTGGAGCTTGTTAATGAAAAGTTAACTTGGACAGGTTGATTTGGTTCATGTAAATTGCTCCTATGCTAAAGCACAAGTTGGACCAAAGACACTGACGTTCCCTGTCCTTTTGTTGCTGCAGTTCTAAATCTTCTTAAAGTTCTAAATAATGAAGCTGCATTATAAATTAATGTTCTTTGTGTACATCTCTCCAGGCATGTGGGAAAAGAAACAAATAATTATTTTTATCCTTTGGTTTATGGAGAGTCCATGTGTTTTTTGTCTTTTGTTTTTGGGGGCTTTTTGCAGTAATTTTTCCAAGACCTAAAGGTAATTGGGCACAGACATCTTTTATAAACAAATGTATCTCCATGTGCCCTCTGTACCATGATAGCTGTTGAGAGCTTAATGTGTGGCTGGTTATATTAAAGGTTTCTACAAAATAATGAAACCGTAACAACAATGGCTAACATTGAGGGCTTGCCATGTGTCTTGTGGGGTACAGTTAAGGAAGCCAAGGCATGAGAACAGCTAGGAAGTAGATTTGAAGGCAAGCTATCTGGTCCAGAGCTTGCTCTCTCAACCACAATATACTTCATGCTTTTTCTGGAAGAGTCTTCCAGAGGCTAAGGCAGGTGACCTCTTAAAGTGCTGGCAGGTGACCTCTTAAAGTGCTGGTAATGCTCTGGCTCTCCATAGAGTGGGAGAGAAATTAAAATGATTTCATCATACTCTATGTTCAACAATGGACTTGTACCAGGTTAAGAGGGAACACCCTTATGTGGAGACCCCTGCAAAAGACCCACCAACTTATGAGTTATGAATTAAGGGCTTGGCACATAAAGACACTTCAAGTTTTGGTTTTTCATTGGGTGTATAGGTAGTCCTGATCTTTCTTCAGTTCTGTTTTGGAATGTATCTAGTGCTTAGAAATTAAGTGAGGGATTTCCCATTTAGACATATAAATTCCCTTGCCAGTTGGTTCTTCAAGCCAGTGATCACCTCAGAGTAAAAAATCAGGTCTCTCTTCCCAAAATCAAGTCTATGATTTTTTAAACCAAAATTGTGGTTTCCATATTCTAAACAATAGTTTTTGATGAGTGATAATTTTTCTGTTGCCTAGTTAAATGACTTCCAATTCTTTGGGAACTTTTGTTTGCCTTGGCTGCAAAGTTTTAACAAGAACATTTCTAACCCATTTATTTCCCACTTTATTGTAGTTCTGAATAAGACAACTACAAGACCTAGTAGACTCAAACCCAGTAGGACTCCCAAAGAGAATGGAATGGGAACAGGTAATGATCACAAATTTATTTCCTTTTGATCCTCTCCAAACTATAAGTGTTTTCATTCAAAATTTGTACGTTTGTTGAATTCACACTTCAATTTCTTTTTACCAGTTTTGGAAGTTCTTAATAGAACTGGAATTGGAAATTGTAACTCATTCCAAAATCAAAATTTTCAGTGTCTCTGAAAACACTGAAAAAGAATTTTTCTTTTCTAAACTCAGTCCACTAAATCATATATAGTCTTGATTCTTGAAAATATCCTGATTAAATATATATTTTTATATATATTTAATATATATTATAAATATATTAACTATATAATGTATAATATGCATTATTGAATGAAAATATCAAAATAGCTGTTTTCTCTAATTTCAGAAACACTTTCCATACATAGGCTCAGTCTTCAAGACTATAATCACTTTAAGTTGGTAATTTCACGAGTACCATTACAATTTTTTTATAAGACCTGCATTTGTTGGCAGTGTGGAACATGATATTCTAACAAGAGAAACTAGCAGTTGATCATACTGGCTACAGGCATAGTAACATTTCCAAATCATTCAGCTTAATTCAGGAATTCAATGACATTGCCTTAATCCCGCCAGATCAGTGGGAGTAGGAGTCATGCAGATAACTAAGACAATCATCTGATAAAAGTTCAAACACCTCACTCACTAAGTGGATAAATGGTAGTTATGAGATGCCCTAATATGGGATTGCATCATTTCCTTGCTTTACTTATTTATTTATTTATTTATTTATGAGAGAAGGAGAAGAGGGGAGGGACAGAGGGACAGAGAGAGAGAATCTTAAGCAGGCTTAATGCCCAGTGTGGAGCCCCATGCAGGTATCGATCTCATGACGCTGAGATCATGACTTGAGCCAAAATCAAGAGTTGGACACTTAACCAACTGAGCCACTCAGGCACCCTGCGATATTTTTTTAAATAATACAAATCATGTGCTTGCTTATGAAAAGAGCATGGAAATTAGAATTTTGTTAATGCATATTTAATCCATGATGGTTCCCTAATGAGAGTGAGATGTGAATAATACCTGAATATATTTGGTCTAAAAATCATTTAGATTTGTTTTAAAATGTTTTTTCTACTAGGTTTTTACAGTGTGTGAAGTCCTAGGAATCCATTTTCCTTCAAACCAATTAATGAGGCAATTACTATAAATCCCTGACTCATGAAAAGTAAGAAAGCATTCCAATATTTATTTGTGCTCAGCTATTCTTTTTGTTATTCCCAACTGTGGGATTAGGCAATGCGTAGTTTCTTGGATTGACATAAACAATCTGGCTCTAAACAGAACCACCTTGTTAATAGTCAAAGCACTTCCCTGGATTTTGTCCAAGTAAAAATAGAAGAAAGCATTTGTGTCAACAAAGCAAATGAAAGAACAGGTAGCTATGATCAAACTTGAAAGTGATTAACTTTCAGTGTAATCAAGTACTGATTCTCACTAGGAAAATGCTAATTGTCTTCCAGAAGGAAAACAGCATTATTATAAGTTTATCTGCAATATAAACATTTTTTTCCAGAGCCCCTTGTAACACCAACTGACATCTATGACCCTTTTGTGTAGATGAAATCAACTTTGTAGCATTAACTCATCTAGTTAAACTGTGGAAGAAAGTCCTCTTAATGGAGCTTCATTTTAATTAGTTGGTTGCTAGTAGAAATGGGCTGGTGAGCACAGGTAGACAAAGTGGAGCTCAGTTTCTGCCTCCCTTGCTCTACTTCCATCCCCCAACCAAAATGCATTGCACCCATTCTGTTGTCTGTCGAGATTCCCCTTTGGGGAATGGTGCCCATCTGCGGGGAATGAAGTCAGCAGACAGCATCCTCTTTCAGCTCCAGAATCAGCCTCAGCTGAGAGAGCTTTGACTGGGGGTCAGGGTGATACATCTCCGGGTCTACTACAGATCACATAACAACCAAATGGTATTTGCTTCAGGAATGCAAGGTTGGCTCAACATTCAAACAGATTTGTATAATTCACCACATTAACAGAGAAAAGGAGAAAAATCATACCATCACCTCAATAAATACAAAAAACAACTATTAGACAAAATTCAAAATCCATTCATGATGAAAACTCTCAGAAAACTAGGAATAGAAGGAATTTTCCTCACTCTGATAAAGGATATCTGTGAATAACCTGCAACGAACATCATACTTAATAATGACAGTCTGAATGTTTTTCCCTTCACATCAAGAACACAAGGATTCCTACTTTTGCCACTTGTGCTGAAAAGAGTAGTGGGGTATTCAGCCAATGCAATAAGGCAAAAAAGGAAGTAGGTGGTATAAAAATTGGGAATCATAGATGACATGTAGGATATAATGAATGGAAAATTTAATAGCTCTCAGACTATTTGCTTACGGAATAAGGTCTTTAGGAATTCATGAGAAAAAGAGTGTCTTAAAATCTGTTCTCTCCAGATTACTGACTTACATGAGTCCACCTTACTTTGACTCTTCATAGTTTTGTTCTGGCTTGTTTACCAGAAATGCAGGTATTTACATTAAGTTTATTTTCTCCTCTGACCCAGTCCCACTATCTCATCCACACTTACTTCTCGCTTCTATCGAGTCTTAATGAGACTTAATTTTTGTGTCACCTGATTCCTAATCAACTTTGACATCTTGTATTTATCTTTATTAGTCATCCATCTCACAGACATTTTCCTGCAGTTTTTCTTGCTAAAATTTTTAGCCCAGATATTTTACATTAAAAAGAAAAATCAGTTGATAAAGGAAGTGTTTAGGAGTTATAGGACATATTCTTCATGGTTTTAGGCCACTTAAGATTGTGCCCTTGGAAGTCTCAAAAAGAGATTCTGAGGCCTCAAAACAGTGGACCTTTGATTATTTAGGCCTCTATAAAAATCTTGCAATGATTTCATAAACCCCAGGAATCTTTAAACCATCTTGAGCCAGGTTTCTTATTTCATGACATCATTACAGATATTTGCCCAGCTTTATATGCATTTCTTAGCTATATTTGTAAATATGCCTCCACTTCAAAGTCTGAAATTAGCTTACAAAGTTTGAGGTTGTACGTAGGTCATTTTTCCAGCACTCTGCTTTTAGAGGTATTCCAGAGATGTGTTTAGGCTTCACTGATGTGTTCTAAAAATTACAGCCAACTGCAGAGAGGCAAGAGGCATGCACTAGACCAGGAGATCACACAGGCCAAATCTGGCTCACAGCATATTTTCATGAATAAAGTTTTGTTGAAACATAGCCTGCTTTCAAAATAGAATGGTAGAGTGGAACAGTTGTGACAGAGAGAGTATGGTCCACAAAGCTGAAAATGTTTACTGTCTGCCCAGCACAGAGGAGGCTAAATTCTTCCATCAACGGTCAGTCTCCAACTTTTCCTTGTAGAAGGAAGCTGCTGAGTTGTACAGGTACTCTTCCATCCAACCAACATTTGTTGAAGGCCCATTAGGTTTCAGGCAAAATGTAGTCTGGAAACCAACCTGACACATGTGGTTTAGCACATACGTTAAATACTTGAACCTGAGACTCCTCTCCCTGCCTCCTGATGAGGAATCCACACTTGCCTGCCCCCACAGAGTGTGCTTGACAACCAGAAACCAGACTCCTCCAAGATGAGGAATGTGTTTTTCTGGGCTGTGGCTAAACCTTCCAGTCTGCTGGCTCATCACTCCTGGCTTTGTAGCAAGGTGTTAAGATTTGGAGACAAAGACACAGAGACCAATCATGCATAAATACCACCTCTTTTTGGTCCCAGGGAATAGTGTCTAATACATTTAGAAATGGATTTTCAGTTTACTGTGTTTGTTTGCAACATTTTTGTTACCATGGTTAAAAATACCCAAATCATTACTTCACTTTTGACAATAAATTGCTAAGGGATAAACTATGAAAATGCAGAGATTTTTGGAGAACTCCCAGATGGCAATTGGGAGGCTCATACTAAAGCTCCACTAGGTGCTTCCAGAGCCAACACTGCCCTTTCAAAAATATGTTGATTAATCCTGCCTGAGGGAAAAAGAATTCAGGTCACAGCCTGGGCCAGATTGGCTGATTAAATGCCAATTCCTGAGAATTCTTTCTCCAGAGCATCTCTCTTCCTGGCTTTGTCCTTTGCCTTCCCGTTGCCTCTCTGCTACCTCTGGCCTTCACTTGCTCTCTGATTCAGAGCAAAAGAAGTTCACTGGTGTCTGGGCTCTGGTGCTCACATTGCTGCCTGGCTGACATGCAAACCACAGCATGGTGTAGGCATGGCCAGAACCAGAGTTCATCCCCCTGTCCCAGTTCAATGCCCTGTCCCATGGATAACTTTGGCAGGGTTCTTACCAACATTTTTCTACCCTGTCAACTTTTATCTGTTTCTGAAGGCTGAAGAAAGTCCAGGTTAGCTGCTGATTGATTTGGGTACTTACATTTAAGGATCATAATAGTAAGATGCTTCTGTCTCTATCTATAAAGAAAGTGACACAATAGCTGGTTTCTGATTTTTCTCTTAATTAGAAAAGAAGCCAGGGAAATCGTATCTTTGGTCTTACTCATAAAGTAGGCTTGCAGAATTCTGGACTCTCTCCTGTATCTCCAGTTGACTAGCCCCTGTGGCTTGGAGGACTTGTCCACTGTCAGGATCTGCTATTCTCTGAGTCCCACATATTAGTGGCATGGTTGGATGACATATGTTTACCAGCCAGGGCCATTTAGACCACACACAGTGGTGATGCCTCAAACCACCCAAAAGGCAGAAGGTAGGACTCTAAAGCTAAAGTCACTTAGCGTCTTTGTGAGGAATAGCAGAAGCAAGAAGCTGACAAAAGGAAGACAGTACACTGTGCTATGTCACTTAGTGGTTAAGAGCTAGGCTTTAAGCTGGGCACATGTCGGTCTGAGTCCCAACACTTCCTAGCTGTGGGTTGCTTACTCTTCCCTTGCCTTGGGTTTCTTCATCTGTGGGACCTGAATGGTATCTCCCACACAGAAGGGTTGTATGGATCAAATAAGGCAATGAATATGGAAGGTGCTTTGAACCAAAATACTTTGTTTTTGTTTTTCAGTTAAAAAAGATTTGGGAAAATGCTATGAAGAAGAATCACTAAAGGCACACACAGTCTACTAGCCATCTAGAGCCTTCTAGAATACACAATACATTTTTTACTCTCAAGGAGTAGTGGTAAATCAGGCATACTATGCCAGGTTATCCCAGTGACACAAATGGAAGTACTTTCCCTTCCTCTGTGCCATGAACAAATGAGTCCTTTTCCAACCAAAACACCCAAGTGAGTCCTTTCTATGACCACATTACACTGAGAGTGAGCACAGGAAGAAGACTAATGAGCCCTTTGTTTTCACCATGCCTGTGGGATTAGCCACAAAATAGTCATTGACCCCAAAAACATATTCTTCCTACTACAAATAAGCAACATTTAATTCATGGCTCCATACAAACATTCTCCATGATTTTATATATTCTCTCTTAACCAAGCAGCACAGAGTATGGGATTGCAATACCGGGGTTTATAAATTAATGTTAATTATAATTATAGTATTAATAATAATTATAATTGTAATGTTATTACTGTGTTTAAAATGTTGATTTATAATAATAATTTAATTTCATCATTTAATGTGCTAATACCTGATTTTTGGCAAGTAAAGCTTCTCCTGTATTTTAATCAATATTATTTTAATGTATCTGCCTGCACATTAAACAAGATCGAGTGTGTAATGTCACTACATGGTCCCTAGAACACAGTGAATAAACTTGTGATTTTGGTTGTCCTTGTTAATGTACAGACTAGTATACTAAATATTCTTATTTTTTAGGTATGTGAATTATGGTCAGGTCCTCAGAGTATGGAGTTTTTTTTATGTTGGTCACCATAAAGTACTTCATTAGTTTTTGATGTAGTGTTCCATGATTAATTGTTTGCATATAATACCCATTGCTCATTGCAATATGTCCCTCCTTAATACCCATCACCGGGCTAATCCATTCCCCCAACCCCCTCCCCTCTGAAACCCTCTGTTTCCCAGAGTCCATAGATTCTTGTCTGTTTATATGAATAACGTCTGTTTCTATTCTTTCTTAATGATGACTGTCAGCCACATCGGGGAAGATCATTTTGTAATGTAAAAGCATAATAATTCAAAAAATAAGACAAAACCTAAATTGGTTCCCGTATCCTTAGGATAGATATTCAAACTCCAAGCATGGGTATTTAGGTGAATGACTAATAACCACCAGATTATATTTGAGAGACTTAGGAGATAAAATATCACACAAAACAATTTTCAGATCAATTTCTTCCAAATAGCAATTTGGAGCTCTGTGCCTGCCCAGGACTAATTTACAAGTCTCAAAGGTACAGATCCAGTTTGTGGCCGAATCAACGTAATAGCCAAGGCTTCTCCAGGAATATTTTTAAAGTCAACTTACCAAGGATAAATCCAAACACATTGGAATTTTAAGAGGTTTTAGGGGGTATTGAAAGGGTTGGAGGAAAGCTTTTTTTAAAACCACAGAATGTACTCATGAATATTGGCAAAAAATGGCCAATCACTGAAGGTGAAGTCTGCCTAGTGAGACCATACCACCCAGGAAGGCAGTACAGTGTGGGCATCATGGAAAACTAAGACAAAACCATGATCCATAATCAAACACTAACTCTTCAGAAAAACTATTACAGCTAATGAATATAGGGCTTTGAATATTTTCTATATGCAGACAGGAGAAGCCAATTAAAATGCCTGGGCACAAAAACACCAGTGCCACTGTTCCGCATTGAATGCGCATTATCACTGATTACCAAGTTTCTGTGAAAAAAAACATCTAACACGTTTTTGCTGTCTACTTACTCCCTTTTATTATGTCGGCTCATAGGGGTCAAGCAAGCACCAAAGCCATCAAGTGCTGGTAAAAATGTGTCAGTGGACTCCACCCACTCCACCAAAAAACCAGGTAAGGAATAAGATACTAACTCCCTTACTTTGCTCTTCTCTGCTACTTGGGCAGTAACTGCAGTGTCAAATGTTGTAGCAAAAACAGCATCCTCCCAGCTCTCAAAGAACCATGCCAACAGTACATGGGTACTGCTAAAGAAACATTCTAAAATATTATCTTTGGGGCGCCTGGGTGGCTCAGTTGGTCAAGCACCCGACTCTGGATTTCAGCTCAGGTCATGATCTCAGGGTGGTGAGATGGAGCCCTGCGTCGAGCGTCAGGTGTGGAGTCTGCTTAAGATTTTTCTCTCCCTCTGCCCCTCCCCCACCCTGTGCATGCTCACTCTCCATCTCCGTCCCCCCCCAAAATTTAAAAATAAAATATTATCTTTGGGGGAATAAATAGTGCTCTGTGCACACATCAAATATTAATAAGAACCTCCAATGGGGTACTAATTCAAGAATCACTTTGTATAATGTTCTGACAGGTCTCAGTGGACAAATGCTAAAGAGTCACTGTGGGTTCTAGTTTTTATCATGTTCAAGTTTTGTTCTTGTGTGATTTACTATAATATCCTTTAGCCTGATAGTATTTATGTTCCTAATTTAAGACTGTGCTCTATTTACTAGGCCACAATTATGAAGCTGGTGACTTGGAAAGGTTTGCGTTGAGTAAGAATTCTATGCCATTTCAAAGGTTGCTATGAAACCTACTCTAGGGTATTAATGCCTGGGCTACAGAGCCATATTCTGTTATCACACTCACTCCCCTGCACGTGCACAAGTGCACACTCACTAGTCTCCCAAGAAGTACTTAAAGTCACAGGGCATTTTCCTAGGTTGCCACTTCTACTTGAAGATTTTTTTAACCAACATATATCATGCAAAGAAAGAGGTGAATTTTTAAGCAAGAACACAAGACTTGAAATTTAGGTTAAGGTGGATTGCTCTAGGCACCTCTAGCCTTGCCAGCATTTGTGCAAAGTATGAAAAGATAATTCTTGCATGGTATAAACAGGTATCTCTTCCCTCTGCCCTTTAGGCAGACTCCTTAGTAAAATGTGCCCTTCCTCTGGATGGGCAGGCTTGCACCAGGGCTCACAGATGGGTGAGCAGAGTGCCTGTTAAACTTCACCGCCCACTCACATATCCCTTGCCAGGGCCCTTGTGCAGTGCACAACTGTTCATACTGACCCTGCTCTCCACAGGCACAGACTTATTGCTTCTGCCATCAAGGCTGCTTTGTTGTAATCTTTTGAGAAGTTCTGAAAGCGTTTATTCAGTTATAATTATATAATAGATTTGGGTGGTGGGGTGGAGCATCCACTAAAGGAGAAATTATATCCTTTAACAATTTAAAGCTAAAATGACCTAAGAAATTGTAGTCTGAAAATCAAAGGCAATGGGGGACAGTGAAACTCAGAAATACTGTCGTGCCTATATGAGAAACTAAAGATGTTAAATTCTCTATATCTGTACAGTTTTAAAAGGCAGATAGACCTATAAATAGAGGATATTTTTTCCATATGTTAATGGACTTCATTATTCCTGGGTATATTACCAACATTAATTTAGAGGAATATCAGAATATATTACTCATAGACACTTTTCTATGGAATCTGTCCTCTGTCATCCACTCGGTACTTATCAAATGTTATATTTTTTAAAACCTGCCATGTTTATGGAGTGAATCCTTATGGCAACTTTATCTGTAATATAATCTCGTAGCCGCAGTCCCAGGCACTCGCCGCCCACCCTTGCCACCTAGACCTGGGCCCCCACGAAGAAAACCTTTACCACCAAATAATGTCACTGGCAAGCCAGGAAGTGCAGGTATGTCGGTCATGTACCTTCTCCCTCCATAATGCTCATTTGCCTAGACAACCACAAGCCCTTCTTAGCGTGCTAGCTCAGGCAATAGACAAGTCCTTGGTGCATGGGACATGTGCCTGTGTTGGCCCCCAAACCGGACCCTGTGAGTCCACTGGACACTGGGCTTCTATCCTGATTCTGGGTGGGTGTGGTCCCGCACACCATCCCTGTGTATCTAGGCCAGTTTGCTTTTTAAACGTTGTGAGACAGAAGCTCACTCGGGCCTTTCAACAAGTGCATTATTTTGGATGAGGTACTGTACATTGCCAACCTATAGGGGGTAATGGAAAATGTGATATCCCGTCGTCTCTTTACCATTATCTCCTGAAATGAAATCCTGTACATCTCACTGAAAGCTCCCCTGTTCACCAGCCTTCACGCTGGCCCCAGTATTACGGTACTAGCGGAGAGACTGAGGGCTAAAACATGAGCAGCTCTAGCCTCTGCAACAGGGCAAGAATATATACTGTAGAAGTCAACAGAACAGATGTTATATTAAGCAACTTTTTCCTTCTTCTTCAGCCATGATCCATGCCTGCCAGTTACTCTCCAGGTCAAGCCATTCCATCTCCTTGATATCTTTCCTGTAAAACACCTTCCATCTAATCCCACTGCTCCCTACATAGTTCACCTGCTCTGCCTTTGCCGACAACAGCTGCTTTTGTCTTTTGACTTCCTTCTTGGCCACCAGACTTGCAACCTGACCATTCATCCCCTTCTCATCTCATTACTTTCCTAGTGAAAATCTTCCAGTGGGTCCTTGTCACCTAAAAACAATGTCCAAATCTATGGTATGGAAGGCCTTTCATGATCTGGCCTTTCCTGTCCTTCCACAGTCAGCTCTCACAGTACCCCAAAGTACTCTTGGCTCTCACACAACAAGTAGTCTTGTGCTTCCCTGGCTTGTCTCTTCCTGCAACCTCTGCCCCAATATAGCTCTCATACCTACCTGCTGATTATTTCACTTCTTTATTGGCACAACCTCTGTGAAGACATTCATACCCTCCCCTCACCCACCCTTCATCTTTCCCCAGAGACATTACTACTCTGTCTGCTTACTTTCTCTGTGACCTTATCCAGTTCTTTCACAATATCTACAGCGCTTCGACATATTTGGCTCACATATCTATTTTGATCAAAGACACAGGTTTTGTTTTCTCTCCAAGCCTGTCATATAGTATAAGTGCTGAATAAATATTTATGGAATAAATAAATGGGGAACTTGCCAGTGCTCCTATAAAGCCTGACTGCTTTGGCTCTCCATTACAGGAATCATTTCATCAGGCCAAGTAACTTCTCCACCCCTGAGGGCCACACTTAGGCCTACTGAAGCCCCTTCAGAAAGAACAGAGACAGATGAAAAGCAACCAACAGCTCCTGCCTCAGGAGAAGATCTTGGTTAGTATGTCAGTCACTTCACACTGGATGCTTAGCTATGAAGTACTAAAAGATTTCAAGTTAAGGGGAAAAGAGTCTCACTTCTGGATTATCTGTTTTATTCAATTTTGTGATTAATATCAGTCCTTTGAAATTTTAAAATTATACTCATGTTTAAAGCTTTGAGATAGAATAGTCCTTCCCTTCATAGACAGAGAAGAAGGTACCCAAGTTTTTTAGAGAAGTCTTCCTGAAAAGATCTAGATTACCCAATGTTTCTCACTAAATCAGATGTCATTATTAATCATACATATCTTGGGGTGCCTGGCTGGCTCGGTCAGTAGAGCATGCCACTCTTGATTTCAAGGTCACGGGTTCAAGCCCCACATTGGGTGTGGAACCTAATTAAAAAATAAATCATATATTAATTTATTAATGAGTATTGCCTACTTTAATCTTTAAGTCATTATTTGGTATACTCAGCACACCTGCAGCAGGACACAATTAAAGGCCTTTTATTGTGGACAGATATTATAATTATATGCAAGCAGTTGACCAGGAGGCATATTAAATATTTATAGTTTTTAATATTTTTCATTTTCTTGAGAAGCTTTTTTATATTTTGCTAAAATCATTTATTATCTTCTATTCTCAGGTAATATAACTGACTTTAGCTCAAGTCCAACAAGAGAAACTGATCCTCTTGGGAAGCCCAGATTCAAAGGTAGGTATGATTGGCTCCAAATCTGAATTTTAGCAAGGCTGTCTTAGACTGAACTATCCATTAGCTTTTGCTGTGTAATAACTGCGAAATCTTAGTAGCATAGTCTGATAAGGATTTATTTCTCATGTGTTTCCAAGTCACCTGAGGGTCAGTAGGTTGTGCTTTACTAGGTGGTTCTGCTTCCAGCAGCAGGTACAGTTGGGCCTCCTGTGGCTTGGGTTCAGCTACGCTCCACATTTTTTCATTCTGGTCCTAAGGATGAAGGACCAACAGTGACTCAGGAGGAGCCATTTTAATGACAATACAAAGTCAAGAGTGGGGAGTTCAGAAACACAACAGCATTTCAAGCTCCTCCTTGTTTTATATCTGCCAATATCCATTGGCCAAAGAAAGTCCCATAGCCCACCTCAAATCAAAGATTGGGGATGCATACTCCTTCCATGGATATAGAGAATATTTTTGAACAGTATCAAGTCTACCACAGTAAGAGAGCTATGATATAGAGCCCAGTATTTCCTTTTTGTAATATTTTTTTCTGAAGTGTAGAATTTGATAAATCTTAACATATGTATACACCCATGAACCCATCATCCCAATCAAGATAATAAATACATGCACCACCTCCAAAAGTGTCATCATGTACTTTTATAATTCCTCCATCTCACTCCTCCTACCAAATCTTTAGTTCCTAGATAATCACAGATCTGCTTTACTATAAATGTGTATGCATTTTGTGGATTTTTATGTACATGAAAAAATACAGTATGAACTTTTTTTGGTCTGGTTTCTTTCATTCAGCATAATTATTTTGAGATTCATCCATGTTGCAACATGTATCAATAGTTCATTTCTTTTATTGCTGACTGGTATCCTATTAAATGAATATATAATTGTTTATTAAACCTGTTTATGACATTTGGGTTTTTTCTAATTTTTTTACATTACCAATAAAGCTACTGTGACCATTCTTGTACAAGTGTTTGTATAGTCATATGCCTTCATTCCATTTGGATGAATGCCTACAAGAGCAGTGACTAGATCATTTGAGTGTATATTTAACATTTTAAGAAACTACAAACTGATTTTCACAGTAGTTGTGCTGTTAACCTTTCTGTCAGCAGTGTATGACAGTTCCAATTCCTCCACATCTTTGCCAACACTTGATCCCAGGATCCTGAGATCATGACCTGAGTGCAAATCAAGAGTAGGACACTTAACTGACTGAGCCACCCAGGCTGCCTGAGATTTGTATTTTTCGGTAGAAGACCTTTTTCAGATACATGCTTTACAAATATTTTCTCCCAGTGTGTGGCTTCTGTTTTTTAATTTTAATAAATCTCAGTTTATTAATTTGTTTTTTTTATATACTATATTTTTGGTGTTGTATTTAAGAAATCATTGACCAATCAGAGGTCATAGAGACCTCTTCCATTTCCTTCTAGAAGTTTATCTGCTGTTTCCTTCTAGACGTTTTCTGCTTTTACATTTAGGTCTATGATCCATATTGTGTCAAATTTTGTATATGATACAAGGTGTGCAACAAATCAGTTTCCTTGCTTGTGTGTATAAAATTGTTCCAGCATCATTTGTTGAAAAAAACTATTCTTTCCATGGAATTTCATTTGTACCTTTGTCAAAAATGAGTTGTCCATATATTTGTGGAACTGTTTTAGCTCTCTAGTCTGTTCTATGGATCTATTTATCTGCCTTTACATCAATACCACCATGTTTGTATTATTGTGGTATTGGTATTGTATTGATGATTCTGGGTCCTCTGTATCTACATCTGAATTTTAGAATCAGCTTATCAATGTCTAAAAAATAGCCTGGTTATATTTTTATTAGAATTGCATAGAAGGTATGAGTCAATTGGGAAAAATTGACAGCTATACAACAGTTAAGTCTTCCTACCTATGAACAGTGGTATATTTTACCATTTATTTGGCTCTTCAATTTTTCTCACCAATGTTTTTAGTTTTCGGTGTACAGAAAACCATAAAAATAGTATTTTTATTTCAATTTCTAATTATTCATTGCTAATATATAGAAAAATTAATTCTTAAATTCCCGAAACCTTGTAAAACTCAGTACCTTTTCTGTAGATCCATTGGATTTTCTACATACAGAATTATGTCATCTGAGAGTAAAGTTTTACTTCTTCCTTTCTAACTTGGGTGGCTTTTTTCTTGCCTTATTGTACTAGCAAGACCGTCCAGTAAAACACTGAATAGTTACAGTGAGGCTGGATATCCTTTTCTTATTCCTGACTTTATGGAAGAAGCATTCATCCGCTCACCTGAATGTAGTTAAGTATGATGTTACCTCATAGGTTTTTCTAGATGCCCTTTATTGGGTTGAGAAAATTCCCTTCTGTGTCTGCTTTGGTGGTAACTGTTATCAGAAATGAGTGCTAGATTATGTTTAATGACTTTTCTGCCTTTATGAAGATGATAATGTTTTTACTAGTTTCTTAATGTAATGAAGTAATTGTTTTTGAATTTTCAACTTTTCATTCCAGGGACAAACTCCACTAGGTCACAATATATTCTCATTTTAATATGTGGTTGGGTTTAATTTGGTAAAATTTTGTTTAGAATTGTATTCAGTGAAGGATATTGGTCTATAGTTTTCTTTTTCTGTAACGTCTAAGTCAAGTTTTAGTCTCAGAATAATGCTGAACTCTCCTCCTCAGTTTCAGAGTTTAGAATTGGTATTGCTTCTTCTTTAAATGTTTAGTAGGGAAGAAGACTCACTTCCAAAACTCACTTCCCTAGTGAGTTTTGGTAATTTTTGTCTTCAATTTATTAGTCCATTTCATCCAAGTTGTCAAATTTATTGACATAAAGTTGTCCTTAATATTCTCTTATTATTTTAATATCCCTAGAATCTGTAGTGGTGTCACCTCTCTCATTCCTGTTATTGATAATGTGTAAGTTTTCTCTTTTGCCTAATCAGTCTGGCTGTAGGTTTATTAATTTTCTTGACTTCTGAAAAGGTCAACTTTTTGTTTCATTGATTTTGTCTACTTACTCTGATCTTTATCATTTTTTCTTCTGCTTAATGTGGTTTAATTTACTCTTCTAATTCCTGAAAGTAAAATATGTCTTCATTGATTTGATTCCTCTCTTCTTGGATATGGCATTTACTGCTACAGATTTTCCCCTAGATATTATTTAAGCAGCATCCAAAAATTTTTGTTATGCTCTATATTCATTTTTACTCTATTCAGAATACTTTTTAATTTCCCTTTTGATTTGTTCTTTGACTCATTGATTATTTAGAAGTATGTAATTTAATTTCTAAATATTTTGAGATTTTTCTAGAGATTATTCTGTTACTGATTTCCAATGTGACTCCATTGTTATCACATGCTCTCAGATACTTAAATCCTTTTAAATTTATTGAGACTTTTTCATGGCCCAGAATATGGTCTATTTGGGGTATGTTCTGTGTGTACTTGAAAAGAATGTGTATTCTGCTATTCTTAAGAGTACTGTTGTATTTGTTTGCTAGGGCTTCCATAACAAAATGCCACAAATGTGGTGGTTTACCCAACAAAATTTATTTTCTCACAGTTCTGGAAGCCAGAAGTCTGAAATCAAGGTATCGTCAGATTTGGGTTCTTTTGAGGCCTCTTTCCTTGACTGCAGATGGCCACCTTCTCACTATGTCCTCATATGGCCTTTCCCTCTGGGTGCACACATCCTTGGTGTCTCTTCCTCTTATAAAGGACACCAGGCACCGCGAATTAGAATCCCACCCGAATGACCTCATTTAATTTCATTTACATTTCTAAAGACTCTAACTCCAAATAGAGTCACGTTGGGAATTAGGGCTTCAACACAGGAATTTTGGGGAAACAATTTACATAACAAGGATTATATAGGTGTCAGGTCCAATTGTTTGGTTGTATTGTGCAATTCTTTTATATCCTTAGTGATTTTCTATTCTATCAATTAGAGACAGAAGAAATTGAAATCTCTGACTATAATTGTGGATTTATTTCTACTTACATTTCTATCAGTTTTTGCTACATTTATATTAAAGGTCTATATTTAGATATAGACTTAAACTGCTTAGGATTCTAATAAATTGATAAATGGATCCTTTTTCATTATAAAATTATCTTTTCTGTTTATGGTAATACTATTTGCTCTGAAATCTAATTTGTTAATATTAAATATACACTCAAGCTTTCTTTTGGTAAATGTTACCATGTATCTCTTCTTTTCATCCTTTTAGTCTGAATCTATTAGTCTCTGTATATTTAAAGTGTGCTTCTCATCGGCATCATAAAGCATATAGTTGGTTCTTGCTTTGTTATCCTATCTAATAATCTCTTCATTTTATTTTGGGTGTTTAGAACCTTATATTTAACATGACCAATGATATAGTTAGGTTTAAATCTATCTCATCTTGCTATTTGTTTTCTATTTGTCCCCTCTGTCCTTTGTCCCCTTTTTCCTCTTTTCCAGCCTTTTTTTGGATTTTTTTCCAAAAAAAAATTTTTTCCCCCAAAATTTTTTTTTCCAAAAAAAAATTTGGATTTTTTTTTTTTAGTTGAAGTATAGTTGACACACAATGTAACATTAGTTTCAGGTGTGCCAACATAGTGATTCAACTTTTCTATACATTATGCTATGTTTACTACAAATGTAGTTGCCATCTGTCACCATACAATGTTATTACAGTGCCATTCACTATATTCCCAATGCTGAAACTTTTATCCTCATGTTGTATTCATTCCATAACTGGAGGCCTGTATCGCCCACTCCCCTTCATCCATTTTGCCCATCCTCTCACCCCCTCTCCTTTGGCAACCATCAGTTTGTTTTCTGTATTTATAGATTTGTTTCTGCTTTTTGTTTGTTCATTTGTGAGGGGATTTTTTTGTTTTGTTTTTTAGATTCTACATAGAAGTGAAATCATACAGTACTTATCTTTCTCAGTCTGACTTATTTCACTTAGCATAATACCCTCTAAGTCTATCTATGTTGTTGCAAATGGCAAGATCTCATTCTTTTTTATGGCTGAGGAATATTCCATTATATATGTGTACCATTTTTCTTTATCCATTCATTTGTCAGTGGACACTGGGGTTGTCCCCATATCTTAGCTATTGTAAATAATGCTGCAATAAATATGGGGTTGCATGTATCTTTTCAAATTAGTGCTTTCATCTTCGTTGGGTAAATACCTAGTAGTGGAATTACTGGATCATACATGTTTCTGTTTTCTGTTTTTAATTTTTTGAGAAAACGTCATACTGTTTTCCACAGTGGCTGCACAAATTTACATTCCCACCAGTAGGGCACAAGGGTTTTCTCCATATTCTCTCCAACACTTATTATTTCTTGTTTGTTTGTTTTTTTACTCTAGCTATTCTGACAGGTGTAAGGTGATATCTCATTGTAGTTTAGATTTACATTTCCCTGATGATTAGTGTTGTTGAGCATCTTTTCATGTGTCTGTTGGCCATTTGAATATCTTCCTTTGGAAAAACGTCTATTTAGGTCTTGCGTCCATTTTTTAATTGGAGTATTTGTGGGTTTTGGTGTCATGATGTATAAATTCTTTATATATTTTGGATATTAAACCCTTATCAGATATATCATTTGCAAGTATCTTCTCCCATTCAGTAGGTTGCCTTTTTATTTTATTGATAATTTCTTTTGCTGTGCAAAAGTTTTTTACTTTGATGTAGTCCTGATTGTTTTTGTTTAAGTTGCCTGAGGACACACGTCTAGAAAAATGTTGCTAAGGCTGATGTCAAAGAAATTACTGCCTATGTTTTCTTCTAGGAGTTTTATGGTTTCAGATCTCACATTTAGATCTTTAATCCACTTTGAGTTTTTTTGTGTGTGTTTGGTGTAAGCAAGTGGTCCAGTTTCATTCTTTTGCATGTAGCTGTCTAGTTTGCCCAACACTATTTATTGAAGAGACTGTCTTCCCTATTGTGTATTCTTGCTTCTACAACTTCACAAATGTGCAAGAACTTTATATTAGTATAGCAACTTTTCTCTCCTCCTGGCCTATCGTTGTTATACATTTTACTTTTACATGTTAATACATCACACTAAATTGCAATTTTTTTATGTTTAAATAGTAAATTATCTTTTAGAAAGATATAATAAAAATATTGTTCATATTTACACATATATTTACCATTTCCAGTGCTCTTTGTCCTGGAACAAAGAGTGTGGATTCATATTTCCATATGGCATCATTTTCCTTCTGCCTGAATGTCCTTTAATCTTTCTTGTAGTGTGGGTCTGCTGGTTATGAATTCTGTCTATCTTTGTATGTCTAAAAGGTATTTCACTTTTATTAAAAAAGGATATTTTCACTAGTTATAAAATTCTAAATGATAAGGTTTTTTTTTCCCAATATTTAAAGATGTTGCTCCACTGCCTTCTCACACTCATTCTTTCCAATGAGAGATCTGCCATAATACTTATCTCTATTATTCTACATACGATGTGTTTTTTCTGCCTCCTTTAAAAGCTTTTCTCTTTATCATGGGTTTTGCAAAACAATTATATTGGTATAGTTTCTTCGTGTTTGCTGTGCTTAGGTTTCTTTGAAATTTTTTGGATCTGTGGGTTAGAGGTTTTATCAAATTTGGAAATTTTTGACCATTATTTCTTCAAATATTTTTTCTGCCTGTTTTCTACTCAGATACTAAAATTACACGTATATTATACTGCCTGAAATTGTCCCACAACTCACTGATGCTCTGTTCATTATTTTTAATTCTTTTTTTCTTTCCACTTTTATTTTGGGTAGTTTTTATTCCTATGTCTTCAAGTTCACTAATCTTTTTCTGCAATATCATCTCTGTACCACTATCATCCTGTATGTTTTTCATCTTACACGTTTTAGTTTTCACCTCTAGAAATTTGATTTCAGTCTTTTTTATATCTCTCATGTCTTAATTTTTTTACTACGTGGATTATAGTGATAATAATGGTTTTATTGTCCTTGTCTGATGACTAACATCCATTCAAGTTCTAGATTGATTTCAAAGGATTTATTTTCTCCTCATTATGGGTAATATTTTTCTGTAATTTCACCTTGTTGCTGGATATGTTTTTTTAATCTAAAATATTCTTGAATTTTGTCCTGGATGTAGTTAATTTACTTGAAACCACTTGACCCTTTTGAGTCTGGCTTTTAAAATTTATTAGGTGAGACCAGAACTGTGTTTAGTACAGGGCTAATTATTCCCCACTTCTAATGCAACACCCTCTTGAGTACTCTTTCCACTGCCCCATAAATTATGCAGTTTAAAACATGCTCAGGGAACCAAATTACTTTTGGATATTAGCATAAGTTAAACCTATTTAGAAAAGTAAGCCAGCTACAACATCCATATCAGGTGTCTCAGAGACAGGAATTCTAGATTTTCACAAGTTTGAACAACCCACATCACTGCTTTCATCTATCTGTTTATAATGTGAGACCAAATGTCTTAATACAAATAAATATATTTGAGTTTACCTCCACCTTCTGTACAAGCTCAAACAAGGCTAAATGTCAGAGTCCTTTCTCTCTTAGGTCCTCATGTGCGATACATCCAAAAACCTGACAACAGACCCTGCTCCATCACTGATTCTGTCAAACGGTTCCCCAAAGAGGATGCCACCGAGGGGAATGCCACCAGCCCACCGCAGAACCCACCTACCAACCTCACTGTGGTCACTGTGGAAGGATGTCCCTCATTTGTCATCCTGGACTGGGATAAGCCACTAAATGATACCGTCACTGGTAAGATCATGGCATAAGGACTGATACTCTGGTGGGAAGCATTGATATGTGAGTGTGGTACCTGGGTCAAACTATGTCCTATGAGGTATATCTCAGGGGTAGAAAGTCTTAGCAGAGCAGCAGTGCCAAAAGTGTCATATGATGGGAAAAGTTCATCTGTGTCCCAGTGATGGGCTTCCTGTTAATTTAACAGATCACTTTAGGTTGCATCCCTTCCATGTCCTCTCAGAATTCTTTTTTACAGTATAAAGATATATCTGATCTTTTCATTATCAAGAAAATTACAGATAACATAGGAGCAGTTGGCAGTACTGATGATATTTAAACCAGTTTCATTTCACCAACCCAATTTCTAGATTGACCTAGGCTGAAAGGTATTCAATTATTTTTGGAGAAATTTTTTTAGAATTCTAATCCTGGTCAATTTTCTACTCATCTCAGGAAATTTTAATTCTGCTATCACTCACCTAATCCCCCTAAAAATGACTGTGAAAAATAAGAAATGAGTCATTTTTGAGTTTATTATATGGGAATTTATTTATTCATAGTGAACAGGTTATTCAAACTAGAGAGGAGGGAGAAATGACTACGAGGCTGAATCAGCTACAGGAATACAGCAAATAGGGTGATTACACAAAGCCCCTGCTATCCATGTCCTGCTATGCCTGGGACAGGTAGACAGGGTCCAGAGGGACCCACTGAGAGTCTGTCAGGATGGAAAGAGGGAAGTACACAGAGGAAGTGGGGAGTGGGAGATTCAGCATCTGACAAAAAGATTTTCTGTGAATAAAGAGGAAAACAGCAGTTATTTCTCCTCAGACAGAACTGTTTGGTCTGGGCAACTTCTGCTATAAACAGCTTATTTTTGCTTAGCTAGCCTTTTCTTATTTACCCATATTTTGTGAATTTCATTTTTCATGCAGACCTTGCTTTTGTTTTAAGAAAGAACCAGCCATTGCTCATATTCCTTGGGGATTTGCCTAGTCCTGCTTCTTTACTTGGGACTATGCCAGTAGGTGCTACCATCCCAATATCTAAAAAACAATCTCTAAGCATTGATTATCTACATGGATTAAAAAGTCCCAAACTCCCAATACATGTACTGTGCTCTGTTTTCATGACCAGACTCTAATTTTCCAATCTTTCTAATAAATAGGTTTTGTTTTGTTAAGTAAATTTTCTCTTAATAGGGCAATACCCTCTGAGGGGGGAAAATACCAATTATTCAGTGTTAGTTCTTTATAGATTCCTTATATCTTTACTGTTAAGGAATTTATAAATCCCATATTTCAATTTTTTTCCATATTTTAAAGTAAGAAATATGGACACATACTAAGTGGCTGTCTTTGCCTTCTGAAATATACTCAGAATGTATCTATAGATGTTCATTCCAAACATTAATATTCTATTTTTATGGTGTTGGTGGACTTATGAAAAAGCTATGATTGCTTTAAAGCACTACAAATGAAAGATATATTTACAGAGCCCAAAAATATACATTCAAAACTAGAATTCTGAGAGAAATTCTAATTTTTTATTGTTATGCTAATCACCATAAATTACATCATTAGTTTTTGATGTAGTGTTCCAATGATTCATTGTTTGCCTGTAACACCCAGTGCTCCATTCAGTATGTGCCCTCTTTAATACCCATCACCAGGCTAGCCCATCCCCCTACCCCCCTCCCCTCTAGAACCCTCAGTTTGTTTCTCTGAATTTTTTTTATTTATGAAGGTAACTTCTATATCCATTTTGAAAACTTGAGTCATTTAGGATAAAAATAGTATTAAATGAGCATTGAATCAAAGGAACATTAGAGAAGATATGCAGTAAGGGTTTCTAGTACTAAGAGCCTGGGGTAATATTAAAAAGAATATTACAGTCGATGAGTTTGAATGGGCTTTGTTGTTGTTTGTTGTTTTTTGAGTTTTTAATCCTCTGCATGATCTTGCGACATACATTAAACTGAACCCCAATTGACAGGAGGGAAAACCAACTAACAAATTTATAAATTATGTTCTTAATCTGAAAGACTTTCTCTTGATTAGTCCTGCAAGTTCATAGAATCATGCCTTTAAGTGAAATTTATGGAGATCTCTATGCAAACTTTAAGGTCATAATTTTTTAAAAAAGGATAATTATCAAGAAGGCACATGTAAGCAATAGGTACAAAACTTTCATAACTTACATAAGCAGTAGATACAAAAATCCCATAATTCTATAGTTCAAAATAATGAACTGTCATTCACTATTTGGTTAACTGTTATTTGCAGCATGATTTTAAACCCAAAGATTTTTGGAGCAGCACCATGAATGCAGTGGCCTTTTTCCCAGCTATATAATGAAGCTCCATGGAGAAAGAAATATGGCTTCTACTCAAGTACCACTTCTCACACAGTGCTTTCCCCATACTGAGCATTCCAACAAGAGCAGACTATCTGACTTGCCTAGCAGAGTCTTTGGTTACCAGTCCAAAGCTACCACAGGAGCACCATCAGTCTTCACAGATACCAGGCCTTCCGTATTCCAGTAAAGGGAAAGCAGAAATGGTCAATGAGCAACTCCCAAAATGCTTTGGGACCTTCATAATCCACTGACCATCCCCATCTGGGAATTGCTAATGTGTAAGATCAGTACACCTCCAGAACTGCAATCTAAATTGCTCACTTTTATGAGAGTGACTTTATGATGCTGTTAACCTTAAGAACAATTAAATCAGCTGAGAGGTAAAGACAAGTATTTGTTGGCTTTTTCGCTTTTCAGAATATGAAGTTATATCCAGAGAAAATGGGTCATTCAGTGGGAAGAACAAGTCCATACAAATTACAAATCAAACCTTCTCCACAGTAGAAAATCTAAAACCAGATACAAGGTAAGCCACCTGTGCTATTACAGGTGAATTCTCAGAGTGCAAAAGTCTTAACAAAGGCATGAAATGACATCGTCTGTCTTTGTCTTAAGGGACGGTGTAGTCTGCATTTCATTCTTTGGCTTACTGGACATAGCAATGGATACCTCTAGGTCATGTTTTGCAAATATGCAAGTTATTGGTGGGGACACAAGAGCTGACAAGGTGGTCTTGTAAGTTAGCACTCTAGGGGAGAACATTGAACAATAGAAGTTCGTTAATACCAAATGTTGATGTTAAGTACCGAAATTTAGAGAAGGAAAGGTCTGTAGACCAGACACAACTGGAGTGTGTATGATGTAAACTCAATTTGAAAACAGAAGAATTTGGCTGGCTTGCTGGCAAGAGGAGGGCAAGGAAATACAAGCTATGTAACAGATACAGATGACAATTTGTGATAGTTAAGGCTTCAAATAACTACAGACCATTCCCAGGCATAGCAGTCCTTTGCTTTTGGGGTCTTTTTATCACAAAGAAATGAGAATCAATTTTTGAAAATAGAAATATATGCTAAGACCAATGCTCTACAATAAAAAACTTTTCTTGGCATCTCTCATTACACATTGGTACCAGGTTGTTTATGTTACTGTGTGGTTTTGTCATTTCTTTTTAAATCTAAAATACCCAATATTTTATCAGCTCATTGTACTGCAAGAAAAATAAGGGCCTTATACATTTCTAGAAATGTAATAGAGAAGGTTTTTTTGTTTTGTTTTGCTTTATGTGGCTAAATCATCAAATTTATTGCTCAAGGACATTCTCAAATGGATACAGCCAAGCATTTCCTTAGTAAAGCCAGTGTACTAAATTCATTTGGGGACTAAATATTACTCTCTATGGAAAATCAATTTCTTTTCTCAAACTCCAGAACACTGTTTGATAAGCTGTCTGTGCTTTCAGTTAAAATGAAAACATCTTCACATCTTAAGTTATAATACACCAAGCAACATAGATCAATTTTCAGAAAGACACAATCAGGAGTTTTTCCAGATTGAATATTTCATAACTTGATAAAGTTTCTTGGTATTGAAAAAGATCAGCAGAGGCAAAGACTGGAACTCCAGCATTAGAAATTTTTTTTCATAAGTTTTACTTACATCTTTCATTGTCATCAGTTGATTGAATTGAATCAGATATTGAATGTGACACTCAAAAGAGCCTATTTTAGTTCTGATAGCAAAGAACCTCTTCTAATGTTTTCAGGAAAAAAGGAAGCATCTAGTTCATTCTAGAAGGTTTGCTGTGTATAAACTGTAGTCCTATACTGCAAATATACTTTCCACAAGCATTTTTTTCTTTAAAGTTCTCTATTTTGAGCTGTAATATGGAAAATTTTACAACTGCTAATTTTTTTAAAGGATTTAAGTTAGCCAAAATAAGCATGTATTTCAGTAAAAGCCCATTTGATGATTTTGGTTCTGTTTCCTTAGTGAGATTAACAGGGAGAGAGAGACTATTTTTAACATAATTATTTTAAGGAAAGAGTAAAAAAGAAAAAGTTATTTAATTTGGACTTTTTAGTAGGTGGATTTGGGCTTACAGAATGTGGATGGTTTACAGTTTCTTGCTTTTTATTCCATTTAATACATCGAAGGGCATATTTAAAAGCATCTAATTTCTAAATGTTGATTGTGTTCCTTTTCTGAATTAGGCGATCCTCAAATCTTCTCAGAGTTAATCACCTCTTAGTCATGATCAGAAGTAGAAAATAATTATTTCAGTGACATTTTTAAGCCTGATTTGCTTATAAAAGATTTGTGTTTCCATTCAGCTAACATTTGTTAAGTGCCAACAGTGTGGTTGGTGTTGTGACTGCAAACATGAATAAATATGGTGCCTGCCCTTGAGGAGCTTGAGGTAGTGGGATATGCAGTTAGTAACCAATTATTCTACACAAAGTGGTGAGAGCTCTGGTAAAAATATATACAAGTTGCAAGGGGAGCCCAGATTGGGTGGCACTTTACAAAGTCTGGGGAAGTTGGGAAGACTTCCTGGAGGAGATGATAACTGGGCTGAGGCTTGAAGAATGCATAGGAAGGAGCTAGCTGGGTAACTGTAGTAGGGGAAAGAAATACCAGAGAGAATAGTCCATGTCCACACAGAGTCTCAAATGGCATGGTTGTGTGCAGTTAAGAGTCAGCTACTTTCACCAGTGAAAGGGGTGAAAAGTGGACAGAGACAGTGAAAGCAAGAGGTGGAGGCGAGGCTAAGGAGGGCCTTCTGTGCTAGATCAGGGAACTTGGTCAATAGATGGGGAGACCCAGAAAGATGGTAACTGGGAATGACTTGCTCCAAGTTTCATTTTAGTATTGTTATGACTTTGATTTAGTTGGAACAATCACTTTTGATACTAGAGTCACTTATAATGAGTAACGGTTGGTAGAATAAATTGAACAAAAACTTCTTTTCTTGTTAAGATTTTATTTATTTATTTGACAGAGAGAGACAAAGCAAGAGAAGGAACACAAGCAGGGGGAGTGGGAGAGGGAGAAGCAGACTTCCGGCTGAGCAGGGAGCCCGATGCAGGACTCGATCCCAGGACCCTGGGATCATGACCTGAGCCGAAGGCAGTCACGTAACCGACTGAGCCACCCAGGCGCCCAGAAAACTTTTTGTTAATGTCTTGCAAGAGTGCCATTTTGGCATCTTGCCTAATTGGCCAAATAGGTGCATAAGAGAAAAGTACCTCTGGGCTAAGCTGCATTTCATTCTGGAATCACAGGAATAATTAGTCGTGGAGTTCATGTCTAGCTTCCAGTCGTAGTTGTTGTAGGACTTATGGTAATCATTTCTGGAGTTTACCTCAATTGTAGGACTTACACTAATTATTTCTGGAGTTTATAGCCTTGTCTCTTTTATCCTGCCCTAATGTATGTGCCTTGCTTGTCACTCCTGTCCTGATGAAGGCCTGATGGACCTTCTACGGAGGGACCCCTACAACTACCCAAATCTGAAGATGAGCAAAGCCCAAAGGAGGCTCTTTCTGGATTTGTCTTTGGGAAAAAGTAATATTAAATTTAGGAATCCCTGAAATCAGAATCCCATGCCAAGTTTTGCAACTTGGCATAAATTTGGGGCCATCCAGTGTTTCTATTTGGCTTATTTTGTTATTTTTAGAGTTTGGTATAACTGAATGAAATCCATTCAGATAGAAAGACTGTTACAAAAGAAAAAAAGGACTATTAATATTCATATCTATGATTTGACCAGGACTATGCTGATAGTCTCTGATGGGTCATGATGTAAAAGTTGTATATCAGCAGTTTGAAAACATTTCCTCATTGGTGACAGATACGATACACTGGATATAAAGGGGCTCTAATGAGAATTGTTTAGTCTACAGTTTGTGGGACTTTCTGGTGGTCAAGTAGTTCAGTAGAGCCCAGTCCCCAGTAAGTGGGAATGCATTCTCTGCTCTCTTAAAGGTATGCTAGAGATTAATTTGCTCACTTAATAGGCAAAAAAAAATGTTTTTAGGCTAAAATATTATGTGTTGAAACCCCTATTAATCAAAATAATTAAGAATAAAGTGAAGTTGAATTATTTCATTTAATTTGAGATTTCTGAAGCCTAGAAGCACCTGGGAAAACAAAAGTAACACCCATGAAACAGCTGGAAAGCATGGAAAGACAGCATACAGGATCACGTGGACCTAGACTGAAGTCTCGCAGTTTAAAAGAGGAGAGAAAACCTCACAGAATGAGACTAGATGTTGATGGTAAAGGATATAATTGAACAGAACAGATTGGCAAGAAAAGAATGAGCAACAACAAACAGTATTGTTCTTTCAGATTAAGGCCACATGTATGACTTGGGTGAATTACAAGTAGTCCTCTGAGTTGCTACTGACAGGGTTACAGTCAGAATAATAAAATTATAAGTGCCAAGTATAGGTTTGTTGGCTTTTTCTTGTTTTTTTATGCAAGCTTTTTCCATACTATCTTATGTTGTTAAGGCAAGATTTCTTTCCATTATATCTTTTCTGCCCCAACCATTAATTGCTAATAAAAGACACACTATAAAATAAAGAGGAAGTATGTACAGGATGCAGCCACCAGGTCGTTTTTATTACCTATAAAGAATGACTTTAGTCACATTTCAGTGCCTGGGGAAAATTGTATTCCCAATAGGCAAACTTTGAATTATAGTTGCTAAAATCTACCACCACTGCCACACCACCACCACCACCCCTCCGTGAGGTTCTGGAATTCCCTATCTGAAAACCTAGGAGATAATAACTTTTGAAAGAATTACTGTAGCTGTGTTCCAATTTCAGAAGACACATATGTATAATTTATTTTAGTAGCATTTTCCATCATTCCTCTCGACTGAAAAACATGAGATCTAAGAAAAGGTGATAATTACTGACCATTTGTTACACACCGGAATGGGAGGAGTAGAGTTTGGCGACATTTAACCCAAAAGAATCAATGCAGAGAAAATAAATCTCCAGAGCTTTGTAGGTTAAAAATTCCAAATAGCCTAGAACCAAAAGCACAGTGGACTGTGTTAGTTTCTCCCTGCCTGTTGTTATGACGTTGCCGGGTTTTTATATCCTCTGCAGAAGCTCAAAAAAAATGCCCGCAGGGAGGGACCAGCCAGCAGCTGTCTTGCTGCAGGAGAGTTTGGCTACACACCAGTGTGAGATGTTTCCATCTATAGAGAGTGGAGCCCCATGGCTGCTCTGGGGCACCTGGCTGCAGTACCAAAGGTGACACAGTAGGGACTACCCCAGCCTTGCCAACAAATGCTTGCAGCTACGGTGGGCTTTGGTCATTCATATCTCTGCTCGGGGAAGAGGGGCTATGGTGTGGAGTCATAACTGTTTGAGTCAGATGAAGCAGGAAAGATGAGCTAACAGAGGCACACTATGCCACAACTCCATCTCTTTCTTTCCATGACCCCTCTCTCACCCCCTACCCCTAAAATACAAAGAAAATATCGATATGTTGAATCAGTACCCG